TGTGGCTGTGCAGCCCTTCATCTGCCCACGCCAGGCTTCTCACGCACAGCCGCCACTTAGAATGATCGCGTCAAATGCCGTTGCCATCTGCTGCCTGATTTCATCCCTGCTGCCGCCTGGGAACCCCTGAGCCTCCTGGTCTGTTGCTTTGCATACCTCACCAGGTGATTCCTGGGAGGCTTTTGTCAGTTGGCCACAGAATGACTTGCCCAGTGCCATCCTCCTAAAGCTGAAGCTGCAGCCATAGAACCTCATGGCTCTTTCCTGCCGTTCTCTCTCTGTCATGCTGAGTTCTGCACCCAGGGCCTTGCCATGCCATGTAAGCCCTCTACTGTTGAGCTCATCCTCGTTTTGCTACTTGTTTTTAAGATGGTTTCTCACCAAGTTTAGGTTGGCCTTGAACCCATGGTGCTCCGCAGCGCCCTGAGTAGTCGCAGTGAGGAGTTTGCACGCCATCTCTTGCTGTACCTCGTTTCTTTGCACCTTTTCAATCCACCCGTGTGTGTGGCCCGCTTGTCACGTCACACTCCAAGTTTTTCTGAACACTCAGTTGGCAGGGCCTTTGACAGCCTGGTGGTGGACAGGGAAAGGCCGGGGGAGGGGGGTACCAGAGTTACCTATCCTCTGAAATTACCGACACTGCAGGGACCCTCAGAGGCTGCTTACGCACTCCCTGAATGCTGTGGGTGGGCCCCTCCTATCCCTGTCAGCTGTGTTGAGGTAGGCAACCTCTCCTGCCTCCCTCCCTCATTCTGCCCGGGCTGCCTTGTTCCCCCTTGACTCACAGATCAGAGTCCCTGTCATACCCAAGCCGCCTCCACTTGCCTGCTGCTTCCTCTGCTTTCACGGTCTTGGGTCAGGAGCCACCATCTGCTCTACTTTCCCTGCTCTGATGCCTTGTGAGGGGGTTCCTGGGGGAACTGACCTCTGGAGCAGGGAGTGGGCAGTGCCTAGCAGCCTGGGGGTAGGCTCACCCTTAACATCCGCCGGCCTCCCTGCCCCCAGCCCAGAGAAGCTGCCTCACATGGGTGCGCTCAGAACAAGCCGGCGGCGGCACACATAATAATGAATTTATTATGAAGCCGTCCAGGCTCTGGGATCACGTGGCACCCCACGCTGCCGCAGCCGCCAGGTCCCTGCAGCAGGGTGACCCCAGCCTTGTTAGAGCTGCAGAAGCATCACCCTCTGGGCAGCGGGATCACAGGGGCGGGCACGGAGCCTGTGCTGGGCTGGCGTCTGTCTGTGCACAAACTTCAGTGTGTGGTAATGAAAAACGACCGAGAAGGCCAGATAGAGCATCCGGGCCCACACTGCCTGAGAGCCTGGCTCTACTGGGTGCAGCCTCCCAGGGCGTAATTACCCCAGGGTGAGGGGCTGCTGGGGGAGGAGGGGGCGGATTGGTGCTTGAACCGGGCCTCCAGAAAATTCATCTCAGCTATTAGCTGGTAATTACAGAGCAGAAGGAGCAAGCCTGAGGTCTGGTGCCGGGAGGAGCTGGGATGAAAGGGATGGTAATTACGGCCTCAACGGGAGGGAGGCCGGGCTGATTAATAACTCCTGACGTACAGCAGGAGGGAAGTGGCATTAGAGACCCCCCCACCCGTGAAGCCTGATAAGGTCAACAGTGCAGGACCAGAGCGGGGTGAGTTGGGCAGTGTCACCTGCCTGGTGCGCTGGGGTCTCCTCCCTTGGCAGGGGAGCCTAAAGGAGACATCAGTCTTTGTAGGGCAGTCAGGCAGGGTGCGCCAGGCAGCCTGGCTGTCCCAGGCCATTTCGTGGATACTGTTCATGGCTTCTGGCAGAAGCCCAAGCTTTCAGCACTGGGTTCTGGATGGACGGGTCTAGAGAGAAGAAAGCTGAGTGAGTGTTTAGATGAAGCAGCAGGGAGGAGCCTGTGCAGAGGAGCACAGGAGGCGGCCACCTAGATCCAGGCTCATTTTCCCACTGAGCTGCTCATCTGGAGAGCGTGGACTGTGCAGGCAGCCCTTGGCTTCATCCATCACGGCCCTTGCACCACAGAGCTTATTCCCAGCTGTTAGGATAATGAATTCACATGAGCCAGTCACATAGATGAGGGTTCAGTGAGTGGCTGGGAGCAGAGAAGTTAATAAATACCCCCTAATGAGGGCAGGGAGAGCAGGCATCGTGTGCCCTCATTTCTCCTTTCTGCTGCCCCTGCCTGCCGCACCGGAGCCTCCACGGACACCGACCTGCCTGTTGGCGGTGGCTTGTCTTCTGAGGGTGCCAGGCAGGCACAGAACAGACATCAGCCTTGATGGGTCTAGGCCAGTGAGTGAAGGGACTCTCCAGCTCCCCCCAGGTTGGCAGCGGATCCTCTTTGGTACCCGAGGCTGTTCCCTGCCCCTCCCCCGTCAGCCCCATGTGCGCATGTGAGGAGGAGTAGTGCTAATTTTAGACTCCCCCTAATGAAGCCGCTCATTTGGAATTCTATTTTAAGTGACCTGACATCAGAACAGCTTTCCCAGGCTGGGAACATACTGATACCTGCAGGACCTAGCCTTGGGGGACCCGCCCACCCCCCAAGGGTGGAAGGAGGGGCAAAGATGCCCTGGGCCTGAGCCTGCTGGGAGGCCTCAGGCTAGGATCCCCTGCCCTCTGACTGTTGGTGGGGTACCTGTCTGGGTCTCCTACAGGGAGATGATGCGGTCCAGGGGAGGTCCTGCCCACAAACCCCATCCTCTGACATCCTGCCATGCCTGCTCAGGCCCCCACGGTTGCATGTTCCCCTCAGATTTGGGGGATGGGCCTGCAGCTGTACAGCGCGCTGCAGCTCTCAGCATGTCCGTCTGCTTCGGCCCGCCTGGTGTAGTTGTGAGCCCCCAGAATTTGCATGCTCCCGCTGGGTCTGAGGCAGCTTGTTTCACACGGGGACATGCCGCTGTGCTGGAGCAGGCCCAGCCCTGCTCTGACCCACCCTTGTGCCAGGCCTACCCACTCATGTCTGTGAAGTGAGCCCAAGGACACCTTCCCCTGGATGGGAGGAGAAGGGGTGGAGGCAGGGGCAGCTCACTGGCGCGGAGGTGTGTGATGCCATGGAGGTGGCTGTGAGGTGTCGGTGGAGGTTGGCGTCTCTTGGCTTCTGATCTGCTGAGGTTAACAGCTCATTCCGGATCTTGCCCAATATAGTAAACCACCCCAAAGTTGGTGCCGTGAGTAGAGGAGCACCTCCTAGTGCCTGGAGTCTCTGTGGGTCCAGGACTGTGTAAGCTTAGCTGCATGGGTCCAGCTCAGAGTCAAGGATGAGGCCTGTGGGGTGACCTAAACTGGACTCTCCCAAGGACTGTGGCAGCCTCTGGTCTGGCATTGTGGCTGAGTGCTGCCTGTCTGCCCTAGCAACCGGAAGGCAAGAAGGGGGGCGCTAGTGATGGCGTCTGTCCCCCTCACCATCCCTCTACCACAGTACGTATGCTAGAAATGAGGTGTCAGAGCCATTCGCCCCCACCCATCACGTGTCTCTACCTCTCGGGAGGGTTGAGTGACGAGACCTGGGCATGTTTTAAACCACTGGGGTCACAGAGCAATGAGTGTGTGAGTGGTGGCTGTGGGCCGAGCACCGATGTGAGAAGAGTGAGAACATGCCCGTTCAACTATGACATCGGGCCAGCCTCGGTACACCTGGCCTCACTCTCCCCATCTACCCTCCTTGAAATACAAAGGTGACAAGCAGGGGTGGTAGACATGGTTTGGCCACCTCCTAAGCTCTTATATGACCAGTGAGTGCAGTGGTTCTCAACCTTGCTGGCACTTGGACCCTTTTGATTCAGTTCCTCACGTTGTGGTGACCCCCAACCATAAAATTACCTCATTGCTACTTTGGAACTGTAATTTTGCTATTGTTAATGAATCTTAATATAAATACCTGTTTTCTGAAAGGGCCATTTGACACTCTCCCCCAAAGGGGTCAGGACCCACAGGTTGAGAAGCACTTGCCTAGAGCTGCCCTGATGTGATCTGAGCCTTGCTAAGCTGTCCCCAGGACGGTATGGACACAGGTCAGCCTCTGGGCTCAGTGGCCTGTTGCTCCAAGATAACGGTCTATGCAGCATGGGGCCTGGCCACAACTGGGAGCCAGCCCCTGTGCTCTGGGACTCCTTTGTTCCTCAGATACCAGCCCTTGCTGGGGCATACAGTCTCACTGTTCCCGCCTTCACGAAGCTGCTGGTCTGGTGGCCTTACTTTGAGTGCACCCGTGTGGAGGAAGCGGGAGCCAGAGGAGGATGGGGGTGGCTGTTCGTGAGAAACTGCTCTGTGGTGCGGCTTCTGTGAAACCGGCCTCTTCCCCAGACCCACAGATGGGAAGCGGCTTGGCGCTGGATGGGGACCGGAAGAGCTGGAGGGTAGAAGTTGGGGAGGGGGGTGGCGCACCCTGCCCTGAGCATTGTTTTTCCCTCTGAGAAAAGGCCGGCATGTCCAGGCCTCAGAGTGGGCTGGAGGGTGAATTTCAATCTAGTTTTTTTCAGGTAGAGCCCTGGCACCCTGGGGACGGACTTGACCTGGGGTAGATCGGAGAGCAGGGCAGTGAGGGGGTGGGATGGGGGAGAGTGGTCTAGGTGCTGGGTCTGTGTTGACGCCACGGGCCTTGGATACATAAGACCTCAGCTTCCTTCTGTATGGAGGGGCCATTGTTGTGCAGGCCTCTTGGATGCCCGTGCCTGTCAGCTGCTTGTTTGTGTTGTGTTTTCAGTCATTTCCCAGCTTCGGTCTCGCTCCTCAGCCCTTGGTCTGGTGGGGCCTGCATATGGCACTTTGGAGTACTCTCTGAAGGTCTGGCTCTGGAGAGCTGGTCCAAGGTACAGCACCACTGGGGTGCCCTCAGAGCTGTGCGGGCAGATGGACTGTGGGGATGGGTCTGCTGTCTGCAGCGCTGGCTGTGCTCCGCTCCTGTGGCCCTCGGCTCTTGCTGCATGCTGCTGCTGCAGCCCCTTTGGTGCTGGCGCTCTGCTCTCTGGGTGACACTGGTTCTTCTTTTCCTGTTTCAGGCATGAGCCATGAGCCCAAGTCCCCTTCAATAGGGATGCTTTCCACGGCGACCAGGACCACCGCCACCGTCAACCCCCTCACCCCCTCGCCACTCAATGGCGCCCTGGTGCCCACCGGTAGCCCGGCCCCCAGCAGTGCGCTGTCGGCCCAGGCCGCGCCATCCTCCAGCTTTGCTGCCGCGCTGCGCAAGCTCGCCAAACAGGCAGAGGAGCCCAGAGGTAAGAGGCACCAGGCCACCAGCTCACGGGATGCCCCTGCCCCTCAGTGCATCTCTCTGGCTGGCATGGCCACGGGAGACGGCTGTCTGTGCAGCACCTGTGGTCCACCTGTACCTCCCCTCCCCCACTGACGCAGGCAGGGCTGGCCTGGTGCAGCTGCCATCCTACATCTGGCCCTGACCCTAGCCCTACGCTCTGCTTCACTGTGCCTTCCTCTCTGCCTGCCTCTGCCCTCCTTAGCTTCAGTGGCCACTGTAGACGCTCATTGGTGGGCAAGTGGACTTGCTACTGCGGTAGATTCTGAAAGTGGCTGTGATCTGTTGCCCTGCCTCAGTCTGGTATGGCCTCTTGCCCATAATTTGCCTATTAGTGCCATCCTTGGTGTGTGTAGCAAAGGGCATGAGGTTTCTGATACAGCCAACCCTGCTACAGCCTGTATCCTTGTGGCTCTTGATTGTGACAGAGTGGGCGCATGCCCTAGATGGGCCAGAGGTTTGCTTCCTGAAGCCTCCTGAGCTGGGACACATTGTGCTGATTTGGGCAAAGCTTGGCTCTTTCTGAATTCAGTCATCTGGTTGACACAAGGCTCTCTCAGGCCCCCTTTGGCTCTGGTTTTGGGACACTTCTTGTGTCCTGTGGTAACCCAGTGGCACAGTTTAGTCTGTTTATGCCTGAACACGTGAGCCCTTTGGATCCTGCTAATCTGGACTCGCTGATCAGAGGCCGGTGGCCAAAGCATGGAAACCCTGTAGCCATCTGCTTTGCCTCAAAGGCCCTGGCCCCCGAGGTGCTGCAGGAGCCATCAGTGGCTTTGCTTACACTCAGGCTCGCAGAGGAATGGAAGCATACTCGGGAGGAGGCGGCCAGGGTTGCCTGGCTTCCCAGCGTTCTCTGCCCTGGTTGCTGGCAGAGGTGAGATGTGGCCGGAATGGCCAGTGGGAGTACCAGATCAGGAGGGAAGGTAATCTGTCTCCAAGCAGTAGAGGGGGCTGCTGGCAAGACCCACACCTGAGACAGCCCGCCTTTGTTGGGTGCTGGCCTGGTTCTGGTGACCCTGAGGAAGAAGCTGGTCTGCCTGTCTCCGCTGTCCAGGCTCTCCCAGTGTCCAGCGCAAACCTAGGGTCAGTTGGTGAGCCAAGTGCCGAAGGCTTTGGGCCTCAGTTGAACGGGAATATGGTCGATGGTGAACAACAGGTGCACTGTCCACCAGGCTTGTCCTTTCTTGGTTGTGACCTGGCCACCTGATGCCTGGGAACCATGCACCACACTGGGACAGGGAGGATTGAGGTGGCGGTGCTGTCGGCCAAGGCTTGTGTCCGCCAGCTTGTCTCCTGAGTCTTCCTCATGTGCAGATGGGGACCTCAGGCTTGGGTTGCTTGTTGTCTGTGGGCACAGGGTAGCTTGGGGACCCAGGGACATCCTGACACTGGTGTCCAGTTGGGCCTGGGCTCTTGTCTGCCACCTTGCTGGAAACTGTGGGCATCTTGACAGTACAGCAAAGCTAAGGCCTATCCCCTCCGTAGTTTTCAGGTCCTCATTTGTTTGCCAGGACCCTTGGTGAGTCTTTTCCACCTCGGCTTGGACCTGGCGGCATTGCTGGGATGGCGGAATGGCATGCTGTACGGCTACTAAAAGCTAACGTTCAGGGGGGTCATGTCTTGAGACACGGGCCACAGCAGTGAATCCTCCTGTCCCCTGCTGCTTCTGGCCACTGAGAACTTTTGAGAGAGGGCTTGTTTTTTTCAAGACAGGGTTTCTCAGTATAGCCCTGGCTGTCTTGGAACTCACTCTGTACACCAAGCTAGCCTCAAACTCAAAGAGATCTGCCTCCCAGAGTGCTGGGATCAAAGGCGTGTGCCACCAACGTCCAGCTTAAATATTTTCTTGAGGCTGGGTGTCTTGTGGCCCAGGTTAGCCTTGGGACTGTCTGTATAGCCGAGGGTGACCTTTAATTTCCGATCTTTTGATGATGGGCATCCAGTACCTAGCTTAGGCAGTGCCAGGGATCAAACCCAGGGCCTCATTTGTGCATGCCAGGCAAGCTCTACCCCTGAACCGGATGACCGGTTCTGCTCAGCTTTTAGTAGTTGTGCAGCTAACCTCTGGAATACCAGAATATGTTTTTGTGTCCCCCTGCAGGGTTACCCCTTTATCTGGCCTCAGCCGCTCCCCAGCTGCCCAGCCCCTAGCCTGCTGTCCATGCAGTGTGATAGAGTGAGCCTGGGTCCATGCATCTGCCGTGTGCTCCCTGCCCTTGTTCCATCCTTTGAGCCACTATGCAGGGCATGCATCCCTCACTGGGCCCAGCACCCGGTCTCTCACTGTGGCACTTCATGTTCCTCCCCAACAAACCCCCTCCCCACCTCTCAGTCTCTGTCTGTGTCACTGGGAGGGGAAGTTGAGCCTGAAGGTTGAGGACAATGATCTTAGCCAATTCCAGACTTGTGTTCTGAGGCCCCCACAGGGCAGGTATCTGAGCTGCCCACTCGGACTGGCTCTCAGCCCCCCTCCAGCAGCGGAAGGATGGTGAGTGGAAGTGGGTGGCTTCCAGAGCTGCCGCTGTTGCCCTTGTGGGGGCCTGGCTCCTCTTCCCCTCCACCCCTGACGCTCTGCCCCGTGCCCACCCTTCCTAGAGACACTGTTATATTTTTAGCCATCTGACCATGCTCGCTTAGGCTCCTGTGGCTGATGTCTCTCTTCATCCTGTCTCGAGGGTGCCGTTTAAGAATTTCAATCCAGATAGTGCAATCAGCATGCCATCTCATTTGCTCTGCCCCGAGAGAGAGGCAGACGGGGAGCGAGGAGAAGCCAGCCCCTTCCGTATTCTCCAAGGTCCCGTAAGGGTATCCCGGGGTGTGGCCTCAGGCACAACCAGGTGGGCCAGGTGGGAACCCTGGCCTAACTCTTGTAGCGGGGCAAGGCCAAGGTTTGCCAGACCAGAAGATGCTGGGGGCTCACCCTGTTGTGTGCCTGGGCAGGTTGGTTTACCTCTCTGAGCCTCTGCTTTTTTGGGGTTGCATGAAGACTCCCTCTGGTAGAGTCTGTTGACCCAGTGGGAACATACAGAATGGATACAGACCACATAACTAAATGTGACCCTGATGACTGGGGGTCCCTGATTGTTCCCACCGCCACCTCCCAATCCTGTTGCCACTGCCTATGCACTCCCACTCCCTAAACTAGGGAACACCTGGGGGCGTCTGATCAGCCATCATGGGTCCCCACTGCTGTGGTTGGTTCTCCTGATCTGGCCAGGCCTAGGCAACTGTAGGTCCACCGACTTCTGGCCTACCTCTGGGGCCATGCCTGGGAGTATGAAGCACATGAGGAACATCCCAGCTTGTACAAAACTGGTTTCTGCAAAAGAACGCTGGGTTGTGAGCCCCAGGCTGGACCCCTCGGTCTATCCTGCCCTCGCTACTTAAGAAACTCCCATTACACTGAGTTCCAAGTAATGAGCCCAGGCTGCTCAGCAGTCCTGAAGCTGCCTCCATCCATGTGTGGCAGCACAGCAGCTCAGCTTCTCGGCTATTGGGAAGGGACTCGTCCTTTCCTCAGAGAGGCACCCAGAGGCCCGTTCATGAAGACCTCATCATTCCTCCAAGCCCAGCTTGGAGGCCATTGTGGGTACTCCTGCCAGCCCTGTCCATCCCGCTGCCCTGTAGGGGTCCAGTGTTCAGTGGACTCACTGAGTTTCTGGATAAAGGGTATGGGAGCCCTAGGGGGCCTCTGGGAACTCAGACCTTGAGCCATGTCTCAAGCTGCTAGCCTGGCCCCCACAGGCAGCTCTCAGAGCTGCCCTAGGCAAAGGCTCCTGGGCCTCCGTGGAGAGCAAGCTGTAAGAGCCCTCACCACTGCCCCCACCTGTGAGAAATGAAGCTGGGTGCTGCCAGGCGGGGCCCAAGCTGTGTGGCAATCTGCTCCTCTCCCATGGGGCCCTGGTGCCGTCTGCTGAGGGGGGTGGGGCCGCGGCGGAGCCCACATGTCCTTGGCTGACAATCGGGAGGCCCACACAGCACTCGGAGCTGTGTATACCCTTGGTTCCAGGACACCTGGGGCCTTGGGCCCCCTCTTTCCTTCCCAGGAAGCACATGGGGGGGGGAGATCCCTCGCCACTTAGTCACCTGTGGGGAGCCAGGCTTCGAGGGTGGGCTGCAGTGGGTGAGCTTCTGATTAGACATCCCTAGTCTCTGAGCCTTCTGCTAGTCCTTGCCTCCCGCCCATCTAGTCACACGCCTTGTAACCAAGGGCCGTGTAGTTACCATGGGTGGTGGATGAAACCTGTGTGCAGCCCCTAAGAGGCAGAGGCTGGGGACCATCCATCCCTCTGTGTTGAATCCAAGTGGCCTCCCACCTGGCTGCACGTCTGTCCCGGGGTGGGCTGGATAGGGGCATAGGCACACCCTGCATGCATCGCCTTGGAAATCTGCCTCTTTCAAAGAAAACAACAAAACAAATGGCCTGCCTGGCATGCCTGCCTGCCTGTCAGTCTGCGGCTGGCAGGGTGGAGGCGTCTCCGTGGGTGTCTGGAGCCCCATCTGTCTGTGGCTCAGGTGTGAGCAGTGGGGTTAGCTATTGAAATAGCAAGAAACCAGGAAGGGCAGGAAGATCCATGCAAGGAGTTCAGAGCCACAGCTGTCCTAGAGGGGACGGGAGGGTAGCAGTCTATGGATGTCAGGGTGATGTCCCGCCTCCTCCCCAACCCCCCTCTGCCATCTATCCTTCCTCATCTATACCCCTCTGCTCTTCAGAATGGCCTAACATGGTGGCGCTGGGACAGAGCCCAACCCAGGGGACTCTCACTGGCTCCTCCCAGCCTCAGTTCTTCCAGGACTGGTGCCATGCTCATGGTCTTTGCCTGTCACGGGGCCCTGGGAAGCGTTCCTGTTAAATCACAGCCCCTTCCGGATTGTTGACTTGGGTTTAATGACTGGTCCTGAGTACAGGGCCTCAGCACCTGCCCCCTTCTCTCACAGACACTGAGGGAAAGGGGGCTGAGACACCCAGCCTTGGGTCAGTGACATGCTCGAAGGCCCGCTGGCAGCAGCATGTGGCCACCCTGTGGTTCTGTTTGGCTGTCTCTCCTCAAAGCTGCAGGTTGTGTGTGGCTGATGCCATCACCGGTGTTTGCTGCTGCATTCCTGGCTATTTGTGGGATCCTGTGGGGCCCCCAAGGGGCTTCCCTGCCTGGTGCTTGTCACTGTGCTCTTCTTGGTCCTGGAGTCCTTCGCTTCCAGCACTCATGTTACTCAAGCAGCAGTTGGCCATAGAGTTGGTTGGACTTTATTTCTTGTCCCTTGATGCCTGCCCTGCCAGCTGGCTGGTGGCAGTAGCTCAAGTCTACAGGAAGAGAGAGGGACAGCCCGAGATGTGGGAGCCACCTCTCCTGGCAGAGGCATCGGGCTGCAAGCCCAGTGGGCTTCCTGGATAACAGCATGGCTTCCCACCAGGGCTTTCAGAGCACCCCTGGCATCCTGATGCATAATAGAGCAGCTTTCTCCACCCAGAGGCTCTTTCAAAGCTGAGCTGGGCACAGAGGATACGGAGTAGCCATGGGAACAGGCACAGGGACCCTTAGGCTTCCCTGCCCTGTGGTTGGGGCCACTCAGTAGGTGCCCTCCTTCACTTACAAAGGCTAGAACTGGACCCTCTGTGGCTGGTCTGCTTGGTAACTTCCCAGAATCCTTTACCTGCATCTTCATCACATGGGGAGGGGTTGGGCTGTGTCTGCCTTTGGGATTTTAGTGGGGAAAAGAGTCTCCCCTTGGAAGCCAAGGGCTCATTCTGGTATCCTGTCCTGAGGGTGTTGGTTCAGCTGCTCATCCTTTCCCTTGCTGAGCAAGGTGTCGGGCCACAGATCAGGGTCAAGCCCCTGGTACACAGGGCTGTGTGGAACAACCTTGACCCCTCCTTACTTCCTCCATATTCCTTGTTGGCTGGACCCAGGCCTGTGGCTTTGGGATCGGGGGGGTAAAGCTCCTGCTGTGCAAATGTGAGGACGTGAGTTCAGATCCTAGAACCTGAGTAGGAGGCAGAGGTGGAAGGATCCCCAGGCAAGCTGGCCACTTCCGTTGTGCTGCAGGTTCAGTGAGCAACTCAGTAAATACAGGGAGAGCAATTAAGGAAGACACCTGGAACAATTTCTTCACACACACACTGGCGCGCACATACGCACAGGAATTCAGGAGGGAGCGTGCAGTTGGTACTCGGCAGCTGTCTGTGGGATGCTGCTCATCTCTATACTAGCTGGCTAAGGCTGCCCAAGCTCTTGCCTTTGGGGCCTCAGCTATTAATAACATGTGCTGCCCATAGGGTCCCAGCCTGATCTGTGGGGTCAGTCAGCAAAGGTGAAACAGGCACACACATACACACACACACTCCCCCCCCCCTGCCTTCCCCTGCGCCTCTTCATATGCAGCCTGGCTCTGCTCTCTGACCCACTCCGCCATTCTGGCTGAATAGCATCAGTTAATTACAGTGATGGCGGACTTGCCTGCTCCGGCAACACAGCGAGAGCACAGGGCCGGGAGCCAGGCGCCAGCCTCACTAATTGGCAGCGCCTTGTGAGGTATTGATCCCAAGGCTCTCGATGGTGAGCGCTGGCCTCCCACCTCCAATGGGATTAGGCTGCTAATTGTCCGTGGCCTGCGCCACAGTAGTCTCTTACTGGGCAGGGCTGTGCTAGCGTGGGGAGGAGTAGGGTGGAGCCCAGCTGAGCTGGCTGGCCTTGGGCAGGGCATTCCCCCAAGACAGACTGGGGCACAAAGGGGCTGGGAGGTCCCTGTTGACTGACTTGGGGTGAGGAGGGTCACTTCACCTACCTGTCCCCAGTCCCTCCCCAGGGCCCAAAGCCCTCAGCTGTGGTCCAGCTTCTGCAGCCTCGGCTTTGGCTGGTGGTGGCCTTCTGTGTGTGGAAGTATTAACTGTTTTGGTCCCAGTGTGCAGATAGCATGTTCCCTGCCCGTTCATTAATGTCTGTGTAGCTCGAGGTAGCTGCTATTCATAGTGACTGTCAGGTAGGGCCAGCCAGCTGTCCTTTGGCTGAGGAATTGGTGACTATTCCCCCTCAATGAAGGTCAGCAACCTTGAGGTATGATGGAGTTCTGGTACAGGAAACACCACTCAGCAGGAGGGGCCAGGGAGAGTATTGGACAGAGTATGCAGAGCCTACATACTCACGATGCTGGGTGCAAGGGTGAAGCTGCCGTGGCTGGTGGGTGCACGCCTCCTCCTTTGGAGATCATAAAAATGTCCTCAAGTTGATGGTGGTGATGAGCTCAAACCAGCTTTGCTGCGCTTGGCTCTCTCTGCCTTTCATCCCAGTAAGGCAAGAGGATTGTCATGAGTCCAGACCAGCCAGGGCTCCAGGGCTCAAAAGAAGGGGTGGCAAAGGGTCAGGAGTTGCCAGGGACATGATTCAGTCAGTGAGATGCTTGAGGACGTGAGTTTGAGCCCTAGAACATAGATCTTGAAAGCCAGCCAGGGTATCTCACACTGCTTACCTCCCACCTGGGTAGTGGGGGCACACAAAGCCCTAGGGCTCCCTGCCGTTCTGGCTAGCCTGACAGGTGAGCTCCGGGTCAGTGAGAGCACCTGTCTTAGAAACAGGGAGTACGCCCAAGGTTATAACCTGACCTTTTCTCGAATACTGGCACATGTGTGCACCTGCACACACAAACACACAGAGAAATTGACAGCACGTAAGACCTGTGCATTCTGCTGTGATCTCCTGGGAAGGACCCAAGGACATTGCTGTTTTAAACAACTCAGGAGAATTCCTACAGTTCGTTGAAAGTGATTGAAATTTTTAGCCTGGCATGGAGACACCTGATTGTCAGTTCTAGGCCAGTTTGGACCATGTAGTAAGATCATTTCTGAAAAGTTGGGCCCCTGCCCCCCAGGAACGACAGAGTGCTCTACCCTTAGAGGGACTGTCTCGGAACAAGGTGGTTGGATCCCACCGTTCATGTGCTCAGTTGGCTCTCTGCTCCTGGCGTCTTCTCGTGGGTGCTGCTGAGAGCCTTGTCGGGGGTATTCCATTATAGAACAGGCCAGGCTGGGACTTCGGGTAGCCTGTGGCTGCAGGCATGGTTCACATCAGACTTCGTGGGCTTTCTCAAGGGTCTTTGGTGGATGGGTGCCCTCGCTTTTGAACACATCCCCGGGTTGGCACTGCAGGCCTAGGGTGTGGCTGTCTGGCTCACAGAAGGCAGCAGGCTTTCTTGACTGCACAGAGGGGAGTCCCCCCTGCTGGATTTGGGGAGGTGTGGGGTGCCAAGCCCTCCCCTGACTCATGAACGATAGCCAGCCTGTGCCAGGGGTCTCAGGGTCAGTCTCCAGGCCTGGTTGCACAGCCCTGTGGCTTGCCCATTTCAGATCCCAGAAACTGGCCTCCCAAGCTGCTGTGTCTCCAAGCCTAAAGGTTTTTCCTGTGCTGATGCTTTCTTTTTGACTCACAGGTGCTGGGCTGCCACTGTGACAGAGTGTACCCGGCCCAGCCTTGGGCCTGGCTCTGCCTGCTAGGGACTGAAAGAGTTCATAGGGTATGGGCAATGGGTTTGTTGCCCATTTGAGACCTGGGGGTTCCTTCCTTAAGCTGCGGCCCTGATCGGTAGGCATGTGAACACTAGTGTACTTGGCCGGAAGTATTTGGGGACTGCCATGTACAATGACACAAGCCTTATATGAGCCTCAGCAGTCGAGAGGCCAGTGCCATGTCTCTACAGGTAGCAGGACTGTGTCAGAGGAGGCTGTGTCAGCCGGGTAGAGCAAGGCTCCGTCCCAGCATCCACATTTGCTGTCTTAACTGAGGTTCTCCCTAACCCTTTCTTAGTGGAGCAGACATCCCAAGAACAACCTGCCCCACCGCCTGCCTGCCTCTTCCCTTTTGCTGCACATTGAGTGTGTGTGGGGGGGTGTTCTTCTTTCTTAACAGGGCTATTCTAGATATGGTAGTAGTCCCTGGATATGGCAGATAGACTGCAGCATGTTGACATGGTTTTAAAATAGCAAGTTACATCTCAGGTTGGTTTTTCGAGACGGGGTTTTTCTGGATAGCCCTGGCTGTCCTGAAACCCACTGTTTAGACCAGGCTGGCTCCGAACTCAGATTCCTCAGATTTACCTATCTCTGCCTCCCAAGTGCTGGGATTGAAGGTGTGCACCACCACGCCCGGCTGTGCATCTCAGATTTCTAACAGCAGCTGTCCACCTCTAGGCCTTACGACAGGGAGGCCAGCAGAGCTGCCCAGTACTTAAGCAGTCCAAGCAAGCGGTGCACCCAGCTCTGCCCCTCACTGTCCACAGGCGCAGAGGGCCATACTGAGCAGCTGGTGTCACTGGGTCCTCCGTTCATGTAGAGTGGCGGTGGGGCCTTTCCTACCTGGCTGCTCTTGCACCTCACCCACAGTGAGAATTCTGGGCGCAGCGTGCAGCGTGGCTGTGACGTGGCCCTGAGCTTGTGTTCTCTTCTCTTTCCACAGGGTCTTCACTGAGTAGCGAGTCATCTCCGGTATCCTCTCCAGCCACCAACCACAGCTCTCCAGCCAGCACGCCTAAGCGAGTGCCCATGGGCCCCATCATTGTCCCCCCTGGGGGTCACAGTGTCCCCAGCACTCCTCCTGTGGTCACTATTGCCCCCACCAAAACCGTCAATGGAGTCTGGAGGAGCGAGAGCCGCCAGGTGAGGGCCCCAGGCCAGAGGTATGGCCACAGTGGGTCGGGGGCTGTCCACAGACGGCAGAGGCGGGGGTTAAAGGCTGGTCTCACCCCAGTCCTCTGACTCTTCTGCAGTGCTGGAAGGTGCTAAGATTAAGGTGACCCTTACACCAGCCTTGTGACAGAGGACCACAGGCACGTTTCTTGGTTTAGGATGCCAGAAGCGGGGAGGGGCGAGGAGGAGAGCTGGTGGGGTTCCCCTTCCAGGGCTGCACCTTTGCTTTTAGATGGCATCTTACTGTGTCCTCTGGTGGCCTTAACTGCAGTCACTTCTGTAAAGTCTGCGTAGACAGATTTACCCAGAGGCACTGGATTGAGACAGATGACACCAGGAAGTGCCTGGGGTGATGGCTGAGCCTTGGATCCCTTAGCTGCCGCTGCTTTTGGGGAGTAGGGAGTGATCCCCGCTCGAGGGGTCTTGTGTCTCTGCAGCCTCCCAGCTGGCCACATACTAACCTAACTGGAACGGAGGAGCCAGTGCCTGGAGCTTCCCCTGTGCTGTGCTGGGCCTCCCACCCGCCTGGCGCCTGGAGGGGGCCTTGCTAATTAAGAACCGCTGTCAGCTGTGGCTTTCCCTGGATTCTCCAGCCCCATTCCCAGAGGGTTTATATTGCTAGGAGTACTAATTAAACCACAGAGATGGAGGGGGAGGGGAGGAGAGCACCTCTTCCCAGCTGGGCCAGGGCAGGATCAGCAGGGTGTGGGCTTCATCTGCCCCAGTCTGCTGGGTGTCCTTGTCCTCAGATGCTTGGAGCATCCAGAGGGCTCCTGACTGAAACTTGGGACCAGCCTTGGCACCTCCCTCCTGTGGCTGAAGTTGAACTTACCCCGGGAAGCCTGTCTGTTTGACATTCTGTCACTGAATCGCAGCTTGGCTCAGAGCAGCCCCAAACCACCCTGTCCTGGTTTAAGAGAGGCCAGAGAAGTTGTCACTGTGATCTCTTGACTCCTCCCAGAGCTTTGGCTTGGACCTCAGACGATGAGTCAGCTGACATAAACCTCCATATAGCTTCCCCCGAGGATGGCCAGCCTGCCCGTTGGCTGGCTGGCTCTGCGTTTGCTCCTGAGAGAAGCTTGCAGGCGGTCACTTCCTGTTCCTGCCTTGGGCCTGGAGCCGCTGGCCCAAGTCCAAGATACCTCATGCATGTCCTCTGTCCCTAGGAGGTTCCAAGTGCCTCTGCCTCGTGACTCCTCTGCCCGGAGCCTGTCACTATCCTCAGAGGGTCCTTACTGCCTCAGAAACATTTAGTAACCCGGAGAAGGGCCGTGATGGCTCCGCTCCAGCAGTTCACGCTGCAGTTAATGAGACCTGCATGCCACCAGGGAGGACGACGAGCGGATGATGCTCAGAGCTCAGCAGAGAGTTTAATCCTTTCCAGGAGGGGGAGGTGGGGGCCCTCTAGTGTGGCCATAAAAGTCACTAGGGGCTGCACTCCCTGTTGGGAGTCAAGGGGGTGGTGGCTCCAGGACCCTTCTCAGGGAGAAGTCATGTGAGGAGAGATGAAATGAAAAACGGTCTGTTTTGAAGCTAATGGGCAAGTCCCTCTTGCCCGACTGTGGAGACCTTGTTCTAATCACTGTAGAATGACAGTTCCCTCCTCCTCCAGCTGATGCCTTTCATGGATTGGGCTGTGTCAAGCGGCTCTGCAGGCGTGTTTTGCCTGCCACAGCCACTGCCGTGAGGGTGCCTTGAGGCGGGCACCAAGCCTGGTCTTTTTCTTCCCGCAGCACCCTAGTCCACAGCTGACCTATTTTCCTGGTTTCTGGCTCAAGTTTGGCCAGGCTCTGGTCAGAGAGAGGCCACAGGCCTGTGTGTGGGGCATGCTGCTCCCGCTCTTACCCCCAGCACCCTGACGGCCATTCCCCTAGTCTCTTTGTTTGTCCTGGTGTGGGTGGGGTGTGTGCCTCCACCTTTATGATACTATGTGAATGCCCCTCCTGAGGAGGGCAGGTCAGAGGTCATGAACCCATGAGGACCCCACAGGGAACTGAGACAGCCTGCTGCTGCACCCGGGGAAGGAAACAGATGTTGCTGCTCATTAAAAATTCAATCAGCAGCCTGTCTCCCTCAATTAATCGTGGCTGTCTGTCTGTGGGGAGCAGGAGGGCTCTGTGTTCTGTGAGAATGGAGCCAGGAAGGTACTGTGGTAACCTGTCCCCTCCCTGCACACGCAGAGGCTTAAGCAGTGACCCCTCCCCTCAGGGCTTACAATCCCTCACAGTGTTAGCTGACCTGAGGTGGGGGTGGGGCACCAGGTTGGATAACCACAAGAAGCCAGTAGTCTAGGAAGGACTAGCAGGCCTATCTCTAGGGACAGTCAGTGTTACTGTGTTGGCTGCCACGTGCCTAGCCCTCACACCACGGGTTCAGCAAGTATCAGCCAGAGGACGCTGTGTCCCTAGTGAGTACCCCCTGCTGCTTGTGCTGGATCTGTGTCCTGCAGTGTTGAGGGAAGGGCCTGAGAGTGGTGCCCGGTCTCTGCACATTATTGCCCTCGGAGCACCTGGCCCTCAGTCTCTTCTTGGCTCAGGGTGTCTCGCTGCCCTTTCCATGCTCTCATTGGTGCCACTCATCCTTGCCATGAGGTTTCCGCCCTGGTCACAGGTGACAGGCAGATAGGGCCTGTCACGGTCTGGTTTCTCCAGGCTGGATGCTGCCATCCATGGCTGTGTATACAGAACATCTGTGAGGCTGGATCTCCCCAGGCCCTGGGCTTCCTGCGGCCTCTCACTTCGTGCCTGAGGCGAGCCTCCCCTGGGGTCCCACAGCCTGAACATGTGCAAGGGTGTCCTACATAGGTCCAGCCAGCTGCTAGCAGTATCCAGATAGTTGCGGGCACAGCTGGACTCTTGGGAGAAGCTCTGTCCTAAGGTGCAGGTCCCCAGGGCATGTGTACCCTGACACCATGACCACCCTATTTGGGATGGCTAATAGGAAGTGGGGGTTCCGTGCCCTGAAGATCCTTTCACGTGCCCCTGTCTTGGGATTCAGCAGGCTGGGGTGTAAGGTCTTTCACGTATCACTGAGTCCTTTTGGCCACTGAACCAGGCCCTACTAGCCCTTAGTCCTGACCTGCTCCTGGGAGGCCACGCTTTCTTGCCCTGAGCCTTCTCTCTAAATGCCTCTTTTATACTTTTTTTTGGTTGAAAGGAAAAGTAGGGGAAGGATGTTTGTAGAATATGAGTGAGCTAAACACAGGCCTTTGTGGACCTGACTGGCTCCCCAGCCTTAACGCTATGTCTTCTTTCCACAGGACTCTGGCTCACGGGGCAGCAGCAGCGGTCGTGAGCGCCTGCTGGTGGAGCCACCTCTAGCCCAGGAGAAGGCAGCGGGCCCAGCCATCCCCTCCCACCTACTCAGCACTCCCTACCCTTTTGGCCTCTCCCCCAGCTCAGTTGTACAGGACTCCCGCTTCCAACCACTCAAGTGAGTACCAGGCTAGGATCAGGGAGGGTGTGGTATGGCTCTAGACAGGCTTGGAGTTTGCAGCAGCTGAGGCAGATAGAGTGCTGTTAGCCTCTGTGGCCTGCTCTGCCCTGAGGTCCTTGACCCCATCTGAGCTTGTGGTCCATTCCATGCTGAGACTACCACATGACCTAACTACGCTTAACTACGCTTAATGTCTTCTCATTCTGAGGACGGAGAACCCCTCTAGCAGCTGTGTCCACTGGTGGGGACCTTAATGGCCAGGCAGGTCTGAGGGCCAGGCAGCTGCTCATCTGTGCATTCTGGGCCCCGTGCCAGGGCCGTACCTCATTATTGAGGGGTAGGACCTCAGCCTGATGGGAGGGGGCGGGGGAGGTGCTGGGGAGCCTGACGTGCTTCTGGACCTGGGGTGGGCCTCCGCTCACTTGCCTTCCCCCACAGCCTCCAGCGGCCTGTGCACCACGTGGTACCGCCCAGCACAGTGACCGAGGACTACCTGAGAAGCTTCCGGCCCTACCACACCGCTGAGGACCTACGCATGTCCTCCCTGCCCCCGCTTGGCCTGGACCCAGCCACCGCCGCCGCCTACTATCACCCCAGCTACCTGGCCCCACACCCTTTCCCCCACCCGGCCTTCAGGTGAGGCATCCCACATACTGTCCACATGCTAATGTAGTCTCAGCATACAGAACCCGGTCCGTCCCATGTAGCCTTCCCCAGCTCAGTTCAGCCCGTGCAAACCAACTGGCCCTCGGCTGAGTCCTGATAAATGGGCCCACTGTCACGCGCTGTTGCTCTTCAGTTCCCGCTTGTCAACATCAGCCTCCCAGTAACCACTGACAGAATGGTACATGGACAATATAACAGACCCTGGTGAGAGTTAGGCCATGCTCTCTTAGGCTGCAGAAGCTCTTAGCCTGACTGGGCTCTGCCTGCAGCCAGTCTGCCCTGTTCCTTGTGGCCTCTGACTATGGACATGTCCTTTGCCTGCCTGCAGCATCTGCTGTGCTGAGCCTCTGAAGCAGTGGGCTCACCCAGCAGAGAAGCACCTGTTGGCCTGCCTGGGGTCTTGGCCCTTTTCCTGCAGTGCTAGGGATTCAGTGCAGGGCTTTGCATCTGCTAGGCAAGCTTACCATTTGTGCCTATGGCCTCGGCACACACCAGCTCCCACCTTTCTCCACAGGATGGATGACTCCTACTGCCTGTCAGCCTTAAGGTCTCCGTTCTACCCCATCCCCACCCCTGGTTCCCTGCCTCCACTGCACCCGTCAGCTATGCATCTGCATCTCTCTGGGGTCCGCTACCCTCCTGAGCTCCCACACTCATCCCTGGCAGCACTGCACTCGGAGCGGATATCCAGCCTCAGCGCAGAGAGGTAGGCTGTCTTCAACAGAGGGGATGGCGATAGAGCATGACAGTAGAGCAGGGCCTGGTCGCGGTGGCCCTCTGGGTTGGCGGTGTGGGGATGCGTATTCTGTGTATGGGTGAGTGGAGGAGAGTATTACATGTGGCTGGCCCCACTTTGAGCTGGGGCATGGTTTGCCCTTTCTGCACATCCCTTCAGCGTGCTGCCCTCTGCTTGTTCCCCAGGTTGCAAATGGATGAAGAGCTGCGACGGGAGAGGGAGCGGGAGCGGGAACGAGAGCGAGAAGCTGACCGAGAAAGGGAGAAGGAGAGGGAGCGGGAGCAGCAGCGGGAGAAGGAACGGGAAAAGGAGCTGGAGCGAGAGCGGGAGAAGGAACGGGAGCGGGAGTTGGAGCGCCAGCGGGAGCAGCGGGCGAGGGAGAAGGAACTGCTGGCTGCCAAGGCCCTGGAGCCCACCTTCCTACCTGTGGCTGAGCTGCACGGACTCCGGGGCCATGCCACTGAGGAGCGGCCCAGGCCCTCAGAGCAGCTGACCCCGACCCGACCAGGTACCTGAGCTGAGCTGTGTGGAGGGAGAGACTTGGCTGCCTTGAGGCTTTGGGGTGCTGTCCTGTTAGGTAGGTGGCTATACTGAGCACCACCCTGGGAAGAGGAGTGCCATGGCACCCTGGGTAGATACAGGGGCCCAAAGGTGCTCCCAAAATAGAAGGAGTAACTGGCGAAAGTATAGGGAGGGAAATAGTTGTCACTACTCTTGGAATCTTGGGTTGTCTTTGCCTTTTGCTATGGTGATAGTGGAATCCAGCGCAGAGCTAAACATTAGTCCAGCGCTCTACCACGGAGATAACCCAGGTCTGACCTTGTTTTGAGTCAGGGTTCTTTCTCCCTCTGTAGCCAAGGCTAGACTGGAACTCAGGCTTTCCTCAGATTCATAGCATGGGTCATGTTTCAGCCTTCCAAACCTTGGGAATGCAGGCATGAGCCATCCCAATCTTGTTTTGAATGTAATTTATTTCACGAAAATCTGCGTAGTTGAGCTGCTTATATGGTTTTAACAGTGGGCCCCCGTAGTCCTGGAAAATGTAACTGTAAGCCATGTGTGGTGGTTGGTACATGCCTTTAATCTCAGCACTTAGGAGGCAGAGAGAGGCCTCTTCTGGTGTGTAGGCAGAATGCTGTATTTAAAAAAAAGTAGCCATGTGCTCTGAGGCAGCCACATACCATGTCCCCTCTGAGGACGAGTCATGTTTCCTAAAAGTTCTACCTCTTCCTTCAGTCCTGGGCTTTGAGCAGGGGTGAGGGCGCTGGCATCCTGCAGTAACAGTGTTTCCTCCCACAGAGAAGCTGAAGGACACGGGCTTGCAGGCACCCAAACCTGTGCAGCACCCACTGCACCCGGTGCCTGCCCCACACCACACCGTGCCCAGCCTCATCTCCAGCCATGGCATCTTCTCTCTGCCGGGAAGCAGCGCCGCCACAGCCCTGCTGATCCAGCGCACCAATGAGGAGGAAAAGTGGCTGGCGAGGCAGCGGCGGCTGCGCCAGGAGAAGGAGGACCGCCAGTCCCAGGTGTCCGAGTTCCGGCAGCAGGTGCTGGAGCAGCACCTGGACCTGGGCCGGCCCCCAGTCCCCACAGAGGTGGAACACAGACCCGACAGCACCAGGTGGGTCCTGGGTGGGGCCTCACATGAGGCAGGTGATTCTGGTTCAGTGGTCAGTGTGTGTCTGCGCTCCTGTGCCCTGCTATTGGCTCATCCCGTGGCCTGCTTCATCTTCCTGTACCACTCCAGCCCTCACCCCCTTTCCCCAAGATGCACCCCCGGCTTTGGCCCTCCACACGTTGCACAACTGGAGGGAGGCTACTATGGGGCCTCGCTAGTCTTAAACATTCTGGTGGACATAAGGTTAATGTCCAGTGCGGCCTAGTCAAGGCTGAGTGCTCTGGCTCCTCAGCCATCTCCACTTGGGCTCCCACATCGTGCAGGCATCAGCCTGGTCCTACTTCCTGGCACTGCTGGAGGGGTGGTGGGTGGGTGCAGAGGGGGTGGGGCCATGTACCCTTATCTAGACACTGTTGCATGCTTGACTCTGGCCTGTGGTGTGGTTATCCCTTTGCTGCTGAACCTGAAGGGAGCTTAATGCTGTGCTCTGCCTTCAGGGCTTGGGTCTGCAGGTGTGAGGCGCTGCCTTGGCACCTATGTTCCTAGCCAATCAGGGAAGTCCCTAGGAGTCTAGCTCCTAGATGGCTCATGGGGCTCCTCCGCCAAAGACCTTAACCCTAACTCTCCGTCAATGGGTAGCATGGGTCTAAACATCCCTAGTCTAGTCACCCTTGAAGAAAAGTTAAGCTTTGGGATAATTCCTAAAACGACTCTTTTTAAGTTGACTCGTTAGGATAAGCCATGACTTTGTTTCATGAGCTCTGTATTTGCATATCCCCACCCCTCTCCCCAGTTCATGACCTCTTCTGTAATTATTATTGTTACACATAGACATACAGCATACACATGCTCCTGTATGTACAACCTGCTGAGCCCATTTTGTGTTGCGTTGTGTACACACATTTAGGGCTGGCCACCTGGGATTGGGTGACTTACCAGGTTGCTTGTCCCTGAAGATTTCTCCCACTTGCAGCAGCCTTTGGTTGTGTGGAACTCCATGGTGGTATGTCAGCTGGTGCTGTCAGTATTTACGACTTGACCAGCTGATGGCTTCCAACCCTTCACCAGTGCTCCCTGAGTCTTAGGTGTGAGTCGTTACAGATGTACCAATCAGCACTGAGTCCCTAAGTTACCTGTTCTCTGTAGTTTGACCAGTTGTGGATTTCAGTAGTAGCCTACTACAAAAAGAAGCCTTGTGCAGCCCCCACCCAGGCCTGGAGAATGGCATGGATGGAGAGCTGAAGGGCAAAGGTCCTGGGCAGGCTGGTCAAGAGAGTATGTGGTTGGAGGAAACCTTTTGCACACTTGTTGAGGCAAGCCACAAGAAGGTCCTTTAGGCAGAGCTGCTGTAGTTCTGACAGGGACCACAGGGGGGCAGCAGCACAGCTACCGTCCTGTGGGAAGCTTTGGGCTAGGTGGACACCCGAGGCTTGAGTCCCTGTTGCATCCTTTGCCTGTCCTCCTGCCCATGCTCAACAGAATGGGAAGAAGGGCTGTGATATCAGAGCCTTATCTCCTCAGAGGAGCTCGCACACACAGGCAGTCTGGTGTGGGTCCATCAAGTCACCCTGGGCATTCTGTGGGAGGCTGGTAGATAGGTCTGCCCCATAACTGATGGCTCAGTATATTCTCTCTAGGCCAGGACCAAACCGTCATGACCAGGGCAACCGTGAACCCCCGCAGCACTTTGGTGGGCCACCACCCCTCATCTCGCCCAAACCCCAGCACCACACTGTGCCCACAGCCCTCTGGAACCCAGTGTCTCTGATGGACAATGCCCTGGAGACACGGCGGACTGAGAGCCACTCTCTGCACAGCCACCCGACTGCTTTTGAGCCCAGCCGCCAGGCTGCTGTGCCGCTGGTGAAAGTGGAGCGTGTCTACTGCACAGAGAAGACAGAAGAGCCCCGGAAGCGTGAGGCCACACCACTGGACAAATACCAGCCGCCACCACGGGAGGCAGGAAGTCTGGAGCCTCAGACCTTTCCCCATGGACCTGGACCTTTCCTTGCTGAACTTGAGAAGTCAACACAGACCATCTTGGGCCAGCAGCGGCCCTCTCTTTCCCAGACTCCCTTTGGGGAGCTCAGTGGGCCCCTGAAGCCAGGCTCGCCCTACTGCCACCCCACACCGAGGGGCCCTGACCCAGCGTATATCTATGACGAGATTCTTCAGCAACGCCGGAAACTGGTCAGCAAGCTGGACCTGGAGGAGCGCAGGAGACGCGAGGCTCAGGAGAAAGGTCAGGCCTCCTGAGTGGGTCCCAACCTGCCTGGGAATAGGGGTTCATCAGGACAGGAGACCCCAGTGCCAGCTGCTTACCTCTATTCTCCACTCTAGCCTCCAGTGCAGTTTTCGTCAGACTTCTGAATCTGACACCTACAGGGCCCCTTGCTTGTCCTGTCTTGAGGCAAATTAATCCCAAAATGGACAGTCACAGCCTGTCTGCCAAGACAGTGCTGCAGACGTATGTTATTGATAAGTGATGGGTGGAGGCAATCAGTCTTTAAATTTTGATAGTGTGGCATCAACAGAGGAATAGCCCACCGGGATTTCATACATGGGCTGGCGACAGTTGCCAGCTCATGCACTAAAGGACAGCAGCAGCTGGCACTGCCCCTTACCAAGCCTGGAGTTGGGCAGCTCTTTCCTGTTCCTACCCCCAAAATGGAGGCAACAGCTCCCTGAGGTCCCAGGGTCAGGAGAGCGAGCAGAGGCTCTAGACACAGCACATAACTGCTGAGGATGACTGGCCCAGGCCTGTCTTGTCTCCTCTGGAATGGACTGGCCTGTCTGGTACTGCACCTACCTCCTCTTAGCTAGGGATGATACAGGCCATCTTCCAGAGTGTGGGTTGTGCTAGCTTTAGGGCTTTGCTGGGGCTTTATCAGTTCGCCTTGAAAAGGAATGGGGGAGCTGGGCGCGGTGGTGCACACCTGTAATCCCAGCACTCTGGGAAAACAAGAGGCAGGTGGATCTTTGTGAGTTCGAAGCCAGTCTGGTCTACAAAGCCTGTCCAGGACAGCCAGGGCTACACAGAGAAACCCTGTCTCCAAAAAAAAAAAAAAAAGAAGAAGAAGAAAAGGAATAGGGGCCCTAGTTTTTAGCTGCCTTCCCTCCTTAAGGCTCACAACAGGGGCAGTGTGTTCACAAAATCATGGATGTTGGGCTTTTGTCAGGAATGCTTTGTCTAAAAGTAGAATACTTTGGGCCTTGGGAGCATACCGATTCTCTGTGATCGGAAGGAAGCTGGGTACTTGCCATCCCCAGCTCACTGCAGGTGACCAGGCAGACTGGAAGAAGCTGGGCCCTCTTAGCAAGGGTTCTCACAGGTGCCAGCACGCCCAGCCCAGTGGTCTCACTTACATGCCCCAGGTACAGTATCCACGGAGCTATCCTGGGCTCTGAGCCTGGCTCAGTGTACCGGTTTCTGCCATCAGGGTACTACTACGATCTCGACGACTCTTACGATGAGAGTGACGAGGAGGAAGTCAGGGCACACCTCCGCTGTGTGGCTGAGCAGCCACCCCTCAAACTGGACACGTCCTCTGAGGTAACAAGGCCCTCCTTAACTCTGGCATGCTCTGGCTGGGTTGTTGGCCCCCACTTTAGGCCTACCTCTTGGCTTCCAAACCCCACAGGCAATTGCCTCTGCTCCTCTGTGGCCTACCTCCAAGTCCATGGGACCCCTGGGGCAGTGAGCATACCATTGACGGTGGCTTCACACTCATTCTTTTTCTTTCCCAATCTAGAAGCTAGAGTTTTTGCAACTTTTTGGCTTGACCACCCAACAGCAGAAGGAGGAGCTGGTAGCACAGAAGCGCCGGAAGCGGAGGCGGATGCTGAGAGAAAGAAGCCCATCACCGCCTGCGATTCAGAGCAAGCGGCAGACACCTTCCCCCAGACTGGCTTTGTCCACCCGCTACAGCCCTGACGAGATGAACAATAGCCCTAACTTTGAGGAGAAGAGGAAGTTCCTGACCTTCTTCAACCTGACACACATCAGTGCAGAGAAGAGGAAAGGTATGGCCTCACTCTGGCCTGCACACACAGGACAGGGGTCTCCTGGGTAGTGTGGGCTACATAGTGGCCACTCTGCTCTGGCAGGCCCATCCCGTGGCGTTTCTGTCACACTTTTCTAGCACATGTCCTGTTGGGATGTGTAACCGGTGCCTGTCAAGTCCCCTACCATCCTCGTGTCCTCTTTGAACAGAGTCCTTTCGGGGTTCTCCCTGGGATAAGGAGGGGTTGCTTGGGGTCTGCATGCCGCAGGTCCTCTCCCAGGGCGTCGACAGTGATCTCTACAGAGCACTGTTTTCGATGCTTGGAGGCCTGGAAAGCGAACTGTGTGGGATGCCTGTAGAGGCCAAGCCCATAGTAAGCACACAGCTTGCCCAAAAAGATGCTGCCAAATCAGTCTGGTGGCCTAGTAGGAGAAGAGACTCGGGACTGGAACCCACAGCATAGAAGACAAGGCATGACGGGTGCAGCACACGGAGGCTGCCTTGATCGGCTCAGCACTGTCTTGGGCTGAGGCATTGATGTACACAGCCATGTTCCTATGTGTCTCGGGCCCCTTAAGGGCACTGGCCACTTCTGGAAGAGTCCCAGGAAAGCAGTGCCTCCGGGTCGTCAGTTGGTTTGACATGCTTCTTTATTGGAGGTGGCAGTTTCTTTTTCCATTTTTAACAAGCGTGGTGGAGCTCTCAGCTTTCCCAGCAAGGGTTAGTCACGGGCTGACTGCCAGCACAAACCCCTGGACATGTGCCTAGTTGTTTGCAAGCCCAACTTTTTACCTGGCTTCATGTCTAAAGGACGCCACCAGCACTGGAGCCTCTTAAGTTTCAGAGTTGGCAGGAAGAACCACTGAACTGGGGATCTGCGGTGTGGAACACTGCAGGGTCTTGACTCCGAGGGAAGTGGCTGTGGCCCTGGGCAGGGAACACGCTCCTTCCCTGGTCTTCAAAATCAGAACACCTGCTAAGAAGGAAGTCAGCGTGGAAACCCCCAGGCAGCCACTACTCATGGCTGCAGATGTGGCTGTCTGGATTGTGTGAGCCGTGCAGGGAAAGTAGAGAGTCGACTGCTGTCACCTGCTTCTTCCTGTCTGCACAGCCGGCCATGGTGCCTGCTTTTGGTGCCTCTTGGCATGAAGAGCTTGTCCTTGCCTTTCCTCCCCTCTCCAGAAGTGCTGCTAACCTCGGACTGCTTTCCTCACAGACAAAGAGAGGCTTGTTGAAATGCTCCGAGCCATGAAGCAGAGGGCACTGTCCACAGCAGACTCAGTGACAAACTCTGCGAGGGACAGTCCTACCATCTCCCTGAGTGGTAAGGGAAGGACACGCACCTGCTGGCACCCTGTAGCTTGGGCCACAGGGTTAGAGGTGGCACTCAAAGTCTCGTCTTCGTGGTGAACTTGACCTACTGGAAGCAGGGCTTCTCTTCGTCCCTCTTGTGTGGGCCACCACTGTCCTAGTTGAACAGGGCCTTAGACACAGTGCAAATTAGAAGGTGGGCAAGAATTCAGGGGAGGGCTTTGACTTCCACGGAGTCGCCTGTCAGCTGCAAAGCCATCATCCCCCAGAGGATGGGCCCAAAGCACCCCTGCGTGCTCTCTCCAGACTGTCTCCAGCACCTCTCACTGCTTCTCTGCTGCTCTCCAGTTGAAGAAAGCTGAGTCCTTGGGGTCCAGCCTCTTGCTAGCTCGTCTCTTCACCTGTTCTTCCTAACTTGGATGAAGTTACTCCCACCTTCTCAACGCTTTCTGCTCTCTCCCCCCACCTGTCCCTTGGGAACTGTGCACAGTTGGACTTGCTGCTAAACATGCTGTTCTTCAGACTCTAGCCTCGTGCACAGTGTTAACACAGGGTGCACACACTGGGTCTTTCTGCAAATGTAAACTCTAGAGAACGTGGTTCATGTGCCTGTTTCTCCACAACTCATAATGTTTCCCTCATTTTGTGTCTCTCAAAGAACCAGCCACACAGTCAGCTCCTGTAGAGACGGATCAGTCTGTCGGGGTCCCAGCCTCTCTGTCAGATGTCCCAAAGGCCACAGAGACTGGGAGAGTGGAACAGCTCCGGCCCCAGGAGCTCTTGAGAGTCCAGGAGCCAGCTCCTAGCAGTGGTGAGAAGGCCAGGCTGAGCGAGGCCCCTGGGGGCAAGAAGAGCCTGAGCATGCTTCATTACCTCCGGGGTGCTGCGCCCAAGGACATTCCCGTGCCATTGTCCCACAGCATCAACGGAAAGAGCAAGCCTTGGGAGCCCTTCATGGCAGAAGAGTTTGCACATCAGTTCCATGAGTCCGTACTGCAGTCCACACAGAAGGCTCTGCAGAAGCATAAAGGTAACGCCCCCCCCCCCCCCCCAGTGGACACTCACTCGGAGATCTCTCCACCCAGGGCCCGGTGAATGTAGGGAGAGCGGGTTTTTCTGCCCTGCTCCCCAGGTGAAATGAGTGTTTGTAAACCCAGCAGGAGTAATTCACTCACCACGCCCAGTCCCTGTTTAAGGGCTTCTCACTAAGCTATGAAGGCCGAGCTCACAGTGTCTGTCAAGAGTTGACTCTGCTGCTGAGGCCCAGGGAGCAGAGGTGGCCGGAGGCACAGACTGCATTCCTGAAGCTTGCTGGCCAGCCAGACTAAACAAAACAGCAAAGCAATAGAGGAAGACACCCAGTGTTGACCTCTGGCCTGGGAGGGAAAGCTCCCGGAAGAGGTGTTAGCTTTGTGAGTTTGTCAGGAAGATGTGCTTTGGCCAGAGGCAGACTGCTTCCTGCTCCTTTGGGTGGAGGGGCTCCCTCAAGTGGCATCTGAGGGGTGCAGCACCGAATAGTTTTCAGGTGAGGGTACCAGCAGGGTTGAGCTGGTTGGAGGGGACAGTTCCTGGCCCTGCTCAGGGGCACCTCTGTTGTCAGGAGGGAGGCTATGACCTGTGGGATGGGAACTCTTTGACACTTGTCCCCATGGGTGACTTTCAGTGAACCCCTGCCCCTCAAGATCCCAATTTTTTTTCTCCTCCCCAGGGAGCTCGGCTTTGCTATCTGCAGAGCAGAACCACAAAGTCGACACGTCAGTCCACTACAACATTCCTGAGCTGCAGTCCTCCAGCCGGGTCCCCTTGCCCCAGCACAATGGACAGCAGGAGCCCCCAGCTGGGTGGAAGGGCCCCCCTATGCAGGAGGTGGACCAGGACTCTGAAGAGGACAATGAAGACGACAGTGAAGAGGAAGCTGAGGAAGCCCCCAGGCGCCAGTGGCAAGGGATTGAGGCAATCTTTGAAGCTTACCAGGAACACATAGAAGGTAGGGCTGGTGGGTCATTGGCTGTTCTGGTGGTCCACACTGGGCTGCTTGAGATGTGGCACTGAGACATTGACTGTCTTGTAGGACAAGTCTATGGTGTGGCTCCTCCCCCAGCCCTGGGGCCATACTGTGAGCCCACACCGAAAGGGCTTGGACAGATTTGCCACACATCTTACTCAAGTTTCTAGATGATTTTTTTTTCTGACACCGGCCTAAGTCACACACCCCAGCGCCCCTTGCACTGCTGCTTTTACACAGTCCTAGAGGGAGGCGGAGGCACTGCTCTCACACTCACTGTGTACCTCTCCTTTCCAGACTCCAGTGTACGCTCTCTGATGCTGCACTGCCTTTAGCCTAACTCTAGGCTACCAGGTTAGCCTTTCGTGGCACGTTCTGAGCTGTGAATACTGCACATGAATTCAGGGTCTCGCTTTGTAGCTTGCCGTGAACTTGCGGGGCTCTTCCTAAGCGCTGGGATCGTAGGCGTGTTCTACTGCACCCCTTGAAAGGTATTTCTGAAACAAATACCAACTTGCAAATGTACAAGTTGCCAGAGCGCCTACTGGAGCTTCTTCCTTTCCTCAGAAGGCCCCCTTCCCCTGCCCCAGCATTTCGGGATTATTGAGCATGTCATCCACTGTTCCTATACCTGGTTCGAAGGATGCAAAAAACAGGATCCAGTAGCATCTCAAATGGTTTTGAATTGGGATGGTAGAAAATGCTCCTATCCTGGGTGTGGGTGGGGTCTTTTGAAGGCTGCCAGGATATTTCCATGTGCTGTCCTTGTTATCCTAAGGACACCTCTGTGTCTGGCAGCAGCACCCCTATGACTGCTCACTTTGGTTGTCCTTAGTGGCTATGTGAATTTCAGGATATTATTAAACCCTGCTGGGGTTTCCCGGTCCATGTGGGATGGAACTAGGTCCTCAAACTCAACAGCTCATTCTCTGTGTGTGGTGCACACTAAACACAGCTTCCGCCTTGGGCTGCAGTTCCACCATGTGGCTGTGCCCTTGACAAGAACCACAGCTGCGCTCGGCCCTCACAGCCTGCCCCCGATAACCAGGACAGGGTTTCTTCCAGTCTGCCTGTTTCTACCTTTGTGCATTATTACCTGGGACTTTGATGGCGAGGCTCTAGTCTTGGTTGTGAAACTTGAGGCAACCTACACCCTTCCCCTGCCAGTTTTCTCTCCTCCCATGAGATGACTCTTTATACTTTGATTGCGCTATCATTGATGAGTTTTCACTGTCGGAAGTCTTCTAGCTTTGTAATGCCAGTCCACTGTGGTCATCCAGCATTAACCGAAGTACTCTGTAGAGTATAGTGTCTTAGTGAAATAGCTATCCAGCTAATTACTCCGGCCTTTCTCTAACACCTTAATCTGTCCCCACCACCGTCACAGTTTCCCTACGCTCTAAACTTGCCTTTTGACTCCAGGTCTTCCCCACTGCACTGGGGTGGCTGTACCTGGATGCGTTGGTGCAGCTAAGAGCATGCTGCACGGTTGAAGACGCACAGCCTCATACAAAGATGATGCATCGCCACCTCTTGTCTTTTCAGAGCAAAACCTGGAGCGGCAGGTGTTACAGACGCAGTGCCGGCGGCTGGAGGCGCAGAACTACAGCCTCAGCCTGACTGCGGAACAGCTCTCTCACAGCATGGCGGTGAGTCAGGCATGGGCTTTTTACAGGCACCCCCAGAGAGGGGAAGTCTGTGCTGAAGAAATCAAAGCTTAATGCCAGGCATGGCAGCACATGCTTGAATCCCAGGAGGCAGACAGATCTGTGAGTTTAAGGCCTCATAATCAGATCCTGTCTTAGAGATAGAAAGGTTTTTATCTACTCTTGTGGTGTTCCTTCCACGCCTTCCCCCAGGAGGACAGGTGCAAGGCCGGTCAAACCTGAGATTCAGAGTTTGAGCTGAGGCAGCCGTACCCACTGGATCTTAAGGCGCACATGTTGCTGGGGAAATGTTCTAGCAGTCACCAGAGACCGGTCACTCTGGTGTGTGTACAGATGGTTCTGACGTGCATCTTCTCCCCAGGAGCTTCGGAGTCAGAAACAGAAGATGGTCTCAGAACGGGAGAGGCTCCAGGCGGAGCTGGACCACCTACGGAAGTGCCTTGCCCTGCCCACCATGCACTGGCCGAGGGGCTACTTTAAGGGATATCCAAGGTGACGGTTTCCCTTGCACTAGGCTGAACCTATAGTATAGAAATATTATCTATTTTATTACCTTGAATATTTAATATTTTTCACTGGGAGGTTTGAAGCTTACAAACTGAGAACGTGCCATGCATGAAGCGAAGGATTCCAGGCTCCAGAGAGGATGTTGCCTTGACGCCAATGTAGCCGAGTCACCTGTCTCAGCTAAAACACTCAGTTTCTCTTTCCGATGGCGGCTTTGTCCCTTCTTCCCCACGCCATTCTTGTTCTCCGACACTGATACCCACCGTGCACGTGGCTGAGGGAGAGCCCAGCTTGCTCTGGGGGTTGACCTCTTCCTCCCAGGAGACTAACACGCTGAGAAGTCTGGGTGTACAAGCAAAGGGCTCACAGTCAGCAGTCACCTTCTTGCGCCATCATCCAAGACACCAGTCCTAGGAGGACACAGCTAGTCAAGGCTCCTCCCTGGAACAGCGCTTAGGAAGAGGCAAACCCACACCGAAGGTACCTTGTCTTCCTTGGGAGGATGCATGGAACTGTCAGCAGATGGCCCACCCACTGGATTGCTACCACCGTGTGTGGCGTTTCCATACAAACGTACATTTTGAGAGAAAAGTCAAAGGTGCTTCAGCCTTGTACTGTGTATATATTAAAAAAGAAAACAAAAGTTTTGTATGTTTTTATTACTTTAATTATTGTTATAAAAGCCTGCCATTTTTAATATGTGGTTTGGGGAATTTTGTTTGTTTTTCCTGTTTGGGGGTTTCCTTTGTTTTTTCATTTTTGTTTTTTTTTTTTGTTTGTTTGTTTGTTTTGTTTTGTTTTTCTGGTTAAAAAGAAAAAAGAAAAAAAAAAAACAACAAACCCTTGCTTTTAGTGTTTGTACTGCTGCTGGTCAGGACACAAAATGCTCAAGTTTTAGAAGGTAGAAGAGCTCCCCTGTGCAGCATCTCACACGGCAGGGCTGAGGGGTGTGCCTGGGGCTGGTCTGCAGTCTGGGCCATGAGTCCCCATGTGCAGCAGGAACCTGAACTAGAGGAGCTGAGCTCCTGGGACAGGCAACAGCTGTGGCAGAAAGCTCAACACTGAGGGATCTCCTTTCCCAGTTCCAACTCAGCCCAGGCTGACCAACTAGAAAGAGAGCCTCTTCCTGCCAGAGCTTGTGGCTGTCGTCCATCAGAGTGGGGGGGGCAAGCCTACCCTTGGCCCCGTGGCCACCATACTCGATGGCTGTACAGAGCACCTTGCTGGCAGTCTCATTCTTCCCTGCCCCCATCCTCCCAACACACACACACACACCCAGTTTTCTTTGCCTGCTTGCCAAGAATCTTCTAGTTGTTACCAAACCCAGACAAGAGAATGCCACCAGTATTGTCAGCAGTCAGCGAAGCACCTTCCTCAGCCCAGGACAGAGCTCGAGCCACTGCTGGAGCCTCTGGTGACGGTCACGGGTGAGCAGAGGCTGCATGCCCTGGGACAGAGCATTACCCAACTTCCTGATTAAACGCTGCTTGCGCTCACGCCTCAGTGCTCCTCTCCTAGGCTAACTCCACACTGATGACTGGAAGCTTTTGGTAATGGCTTTGGGGAAAGGTAGACCCCATGGCTTAAAGACACATAATCCCTTCCCTCATTGCACAGGCGCCCCCCTGGCTGAGTATATGACCCAAAGCAAGTGAAACTGGCCCAGGTCAGCCTTGGGGCACAAGCTGAGCCACTGACCCAACAATGCCTATGTCCCTTCCAAATGCCCTTGCCTGCCCTGGAGCTCCTCGTCTAGCATCTCTGCCTGTGGGGATCCGAACATCCCCCGTACTCATAAGTAAAGTGACAATCAGAACCAGGTATAAAGCCAGTAAAGTGGCAGGTGAGTGTGCCACTCAAGACTATACATGTGGCTTTTCCATCCCATGGACAGATGAGGCTGAAAACAGTATCCAACCCTAATCCATCTTTCCAACTTTCCCCCACTGCAGTCTGCTCTAGGATGGACTTTAAAATGGGCATGTACATGAGAATCCTGGTCCTTCACCATGTCTTCCCACTCCACCTCCAAGTGATGGCGCAATCTGTCCTGGCTGGGAATTCAGGCTTTCCTGGTGTTTGGTCCCATGGCTCCATGTTTGAGCAGCTCTTTTATATTGTTTCATATAATTAGAGCCCAACTGATAAGACCTGCCATCATCCAGACAAGTGACAGAGAGGACAGTCCACTCTTCAGTACATGGCAATCTTAAAGCCCCAACTAGCACCATCACACCAGACTGTACCATTAGGGGATCCAGAGTATTACAAGGAGCCTTGCCCTGACAGTGGGGAGCTACAGCCATGCTCACAGCACTGCCAACTCTTCAACCAGTTAAGCTGAATCGCAAAGTAGATGCCTCCCACCCCTGCCCTCACATGCCCAGGACCCAGCATGGAGATGCCCGCACAGCAGGCTCAGCACCTCTGAGGTGTGCATTAGCCACTTAGCAGCAGTCTGTACTCTCTCAAAGTACGCAAGCTTTGACTTCACTACTTGCTGTAGCCCGTCCCCACTGTCTGATCCAGTGCTTAACTTCAACCCCAGAGGCTGCCTTCACCTGAGGAGGCATCTCACTGGTTTTGTACTTGTGTGTACCCTCTGCCTCACTGCTGGGGCAGTGGACCCAGACCCAGGCAGGGGGAAGGACAGGTGCCTCGGTCACTCTGGGGGCAGTTTAGATGCTGTGAAATTAAACCCATTCTAAGTGTACTTGTTTGAATTAACTGTATTGTAATATTATTTGTTGAATGTAGTAATTAGGTATTTATGAATATATTGCTGTAATTTCTGACAACATCCCAAAAATAAAATCTTCCTAAATCATTTTAAGAGGAAATCTTTTTATATTAGCACCAGCCCCAAGCCTCAAGTGCGTACAGCTTTCCACAGGTCAAGCTTGAAGACACTGAGCCGAGCTCAACAGGCCCAGACACTCACTGTGCATGGCATGCAGAAGAATCCATGGTCGTTAAGAGAAACACAGGCTGAAGTCTCGTTTTCTTTCCGGAGAGAAAAGCTGGTGGGTTCTACTTGATTAAAACTGAGCTTCCAGTATGGCTGAGTTCTGACAAAGATGAGTAGCAAACTCACTGCTTTCTCCAGTGTTCCATACCCTCTTTCCACCATCACACACTTCCAGAGCTGAGTGCCTGTCATATCCAGAACTTGGGACGCCAGCAGATGTCTGCACAGCATAGGCCTCTGGCTAGAAGTCCTGAGACTGAGTGCTCTCAGAGGGCTGCAGGTTTGTGCGGAGTTTGTACATGTGATTGAGGGCCTGGGTGAGGAAGGCCCCACTGGTGTTGATCTCCATCAAGGTCAAGTTATCCAGCTGAAACAAAATGTAAGCGAGCAGAGAAGTTTTGACCTTAAGAAAAAACTAAACCTCACTGAACAGACAGTGAGTTGTTTGTTCCTGGGTGCTGAAGATGAAGCCCAGTACCTGTGGCCTCTAGGCAAGCTCTCCAACAGGAACCATTCCCCAAGGCCCCATGAGCTACTACTCAAAGCAGTTTCAAATCTCTGTTTACATGGTTGAGCAGGCAGGATGCCCTGACAACTCCCTGGAAGCATTCACACTGGCTGGCAGTGCCCGCTGGCACCAGGTGGGGACAGGAGAGCCATGCCTACCTTGGCATGTGCCTCTTGCTGTCGCACAAAGCTGTCAGCAGACACTCGAAGCTTGGCCATGCGTGTGTCCCATAGATCTTTGATCAGTGTCCGGATGGTGTCTGCTTTGGGAATGTTGTCAGAAGCACTAAACAGACAGAGGCAAAAATAGATAGAGGCACTCGATAAGCTTACACAGCAAGGCAGAAGTGGCTGCTTCAAAACCGCAGCGTAGGGGCAGGACAAATAACTCAGCAGTTAGTGCTTGCTGCTTTTCCTGAGGACACCTGTTCCACTGCCGGCATCTATCGGGCAGTTCACAATTGTTTATACCAAGGACATTTGATGCATTCTGGCCTCTGTGGACCTCTGTCCAAGTGTGGCAGACACAGCCACATCCATACATGCACATAAATCTTTAAAAACAAAGCTTGAGACACATATGGTGGCACATGACTGTAACCCTAGTACTCAGAAGGCTGAAGCTAGGAAAATCAGAAGTTCAAGGCTGGGATACATAGACAAAGGGGAAAGAAAAGGCTTAAATAAATAAATAAATAAATAAATAAATAAGCCTTTCACAGACTTGAGTGCTGGGCTCTGTTCTTTCATGAGGATTAGGATGTCGGCAAGTAGGCTTAGCACCGAGGTGTTTTCATTATTGCTCACTGTCCATGGCCAATGGCTACTCAGAATGATCCATCTGACAGTGAAATACTGAAAGCCAGGAGTGGTGAGTATAATCCCAGCACTTGGGACGCTGAGACAGGAGACTACCTGGACAAGCACTTGGGGAAGCAGAGGCAGGTGGATCTCTGAGTTCAAGGCCAGCCTGGTCTACAAATCGAGTCTAGGACAGCCAGGGCTACTCAGAGAAACTCTGTCTCGAAAATAATAATAATAATAATAATAATAATAACAACAACAACAAAAACACATTGGAGAGAGGCTAGAGACAGCTCAGCAGTTAAGTCTTGCAAAGGACCCAATCAGTTCCCGGAAACCTACATGGGGTGGCTTACAATTACCTGTAACTCCAGCTCCAGCAGATCCAATACCCACTTTTTGTCTCCTTGGGCGCTGCACCTACATGTGCACACACCCTCACAGACACAAACACATACATGTGTAATTCAAAGAATACTGGAAAGTCGGGCAGGTAGGACACTCCCTTCAGGGGAACAATATCCTGAGCTGTGCAACTATTCAAGTTGGTACTGAGGCTGGCTCAGGTCAGCAGATCTCTGGTTTTTACTGTTGACATAGGCTTACGACGCATCACCACCAAGAAGAGGACAAGCTCTGTGCTGAGCCCTTTAAGTTGGTATTTTTGGCCTCACAAAGGCTGAGAGCCGGGACTGCCACTGGGGAGCACAGGTTACAAAACCACAAAGCAGAGGGCAGTCAAAGCAGCCGTGTCTACAAAGTTTAAGGTCAACGGTGTGCAACAACTTTCCTTCATGACGTACTTGAAGCCAACCTTTAAAGAGAGAGGGTCACACGAGACAGGCAGACTCATGCACCCATCACTAGGTAAGGTACCCTGGGCTGGGCTAGAGCCTCCCATGGCAGTCAGCCCAGGCAGTTTAACGACCAGTTCAGAGAGTCACATTGTTCCCTACCCAAACGGGAACTCAGGGCCACACAACCATGCTTAGAGCACTAAGTGTATTGCTGGAAGAAGGAATTGGTGACCCACAGCTTTCCATCTCTCTTGGGTTCGTCTCTGGAAGGAGCAGTGACACTGGTCCCTACTACTGCCCAGCTGCTCCAAGCAGACAACACAGTTCTGGCTTTGAGCCAGTTCTGCTCCTAAACCAGCAGAAAGGTACAGTGTTCAGCTGGACGCTCCTCGGTAAGTTAGATCTGAGCACCTCCTGCTTCTGCTCAACAAACCTGTGTAAGGCCTGTGTGGAGATCGTCCCTCTGGTATAGGTGCATGATGGCACAGCCAGATGGAACACTACAAAACTGCACTGTGGCAAATGCCGGAGCAGAACTTTGCTGACACTCGGAGGCCAGGAAGAACGGGGGCAGGAGGACTGCTAAAGCCCAGAGTTCACAACCAGTGTAGGCAATATAGCACTATATAGATAGACCCCATATCAAACAAACAAACCTGTTGTGCAGTAGACAGACCACTAGGACCATAAACCTACAGACTCTGAGCAAACGAGAGCTGAGAAAGAGGGGGGCAGAAGCACCTGTAAGTTGTGACAGCTAGGAGCATCCTGACTTGAAGCTAGGAAGGCTAAGGGCTGCCGACAGGACAGCACCAGGCAGCCTGGCATGAAGAGTGCACCAGAAGACAGAACTGGGACAGATGTGGATGCACAGATTCAGGGCTTGCCATGCACATTTATCTCTACAGCGCAGGACCATGACAAACGTGCCACTGTAGTAGATGTAAACATGTTTTTGTTTTGAACCCAGGTGTGGGATGTGGGACTGATTCAGATAGTCCACAGCAGCAAACTATTTGCCTCATGCCGGCTGAGAGGGGCTTTTTGCCAGCTGCAGATGGTTTAAATCTGAGACTCTGAGAAGGAATAAAGGTCAGAGCCCAGAGAGTGTTGAGGGTAACCAAGGAAGAAGGCTGCTGGTGCTTGCCCCCTGCTGCTCCTGGTAGCTGTTGATGCAGCATGACAAGAAGTTGGAGATATCCTGAAACAAAGATGGGATCTGCTCAAGGAACTCGATGACCCTGACCAGCAGGAAGTAGCTAATGAAAACCACCCCCTTCTCCCCACTAACCTCCTTTCTCTCCTACCTGGTATTGGGGTGTTGGAAGGAACCGGGGTAGAGAAGGGAGAAAGAGACCTAAAAAACCCAAATAGGGGGATGGAGAGATGGCTCAGCGGTTAAGAGCACTGGGTTGTTCTTCCAAAGGTCTTGAGTTCAATTCCCACCAACCACATTGTGGCTCACAACCATCTATAATGAGATTTGGTGCCCTCTTCTGGCATGCAGGGATACATGCAGGCGGAATACTGTATAAATAATAAATCTTAAAAAAAAGTTTAAAAAGCCAGCACCTACATGAGGCCCAAAGCTACTCCTGTAATAGACACAAGGAACCCAGATCTAGATACTTGCAGGCAAAGTTGGATTAAATAAAGCATGTGCACTTCCAGAAAAGGCTGCTGCTGGATTGTCAGCGGCCACACTGAGACCCAGTGACAAGTGATTGGCCTGAAGTGTAAGAGTCCAAGGTGGGGAGAAAAGGCACAGAAGAGAGCAGAGATAGCCTCGGCGCCCTGCACGGAGACACCTCCTCCAGGTCACCTATACGAGAACCCCCGGGGGCTGGCCAGCTGGGAATGGGTAGTAAAGGAGGACGAGAACCCGAGTCCACAGAGGGCATGCACTGTCCCATGCTGACTCACTGATTCAGCAAGAGCTTGGTGATCTCCATGTAGTGCGGACTGGGCACTGGGGTGAACGTTTCCTCCTTCCGCTCCTCATCTCGCATCTGTTCCAATTTCTCTGAAACATAGAGGTTAGTATGTTTTACCACCACCATCACTTTTTGTTTGATTTGGTTTTTTAAGACAAGGTTTCTCTGTGTATCCTTGGCTGTCCTGGCACTTGCTCTGTAAGCCAGGCTGACCTCAAACTTAGAAATCCACCTGCTTCTGCCTCCAGAGTGCTGGGATTAAAGGCCTGTACCACTACTCCTGGATGAGAAAATATGTTTAATCTTACAATCTGACCAGGGATTACATTCATAGCCAACAAGCAAGTGCACTGCACAAAAATAATGTGGGGTATTCCTATCATGGGCTAGATGGCTCAAAGCCTCACAAACACCTTAGAGAGGACTACCACCACTATGCATGAACTTTCTTCTGACCTAACTGCCCTCTACTCATGCCTGAAGCTAGTTCCCGTGACCTCTCAGTGTTTGGGTGCCAAAGCTCAGATATCCTCTCCATACCTTCGGCTCCCACTTTACCATCTCGCCCTGCCCAGTCGGAGACCCAGCACACCTGCAGGACTTCCCCAACTCCTGACTTTATGTCCCACTGTTCACATGACTTCCTTAAGAAGGCTGGCCCTGACCATGTCCTGGGCCTTCTCTACTCTGTGCTTTGCCAACGTCAGAGAACAGTGAGGCCACCTAAGAAGAGCTAAGCCTCCAGCCCCAGCTGGGTGTCAGCCTTAGTGCCAGCTCTCCTCTTCCGTCCTCCACCCAGACCTTCAGGAAAGTCTGCTCCTGCTCCCTTGAAAGCACACCCAGGCCATCTGCAAGCAGCCTCACCCCACCTCTGTGACAGCAGGGCTTTGCTTCCTCCTGCAGCACCTCATACTGGGCAGGCAGCTCAACAATGAACTGAGGCCCCACATGGAGTTATTTTATTTTCTACCATTTGAATCAGATTACAGAACCTATCTGTTCAGTGTCTCCACCAATCAGAAAGACTGGCGACGCCAAACTTCCGGCCAGGATGTGGGACAGTGTGACCTCATCTCCATTTCTGTGGGATTCTAATGTTTCAACACTCAGAAGGACTGGTCGGCAGTTTCTCTTAACCCTAGCCCAACAAGTTCCTAACAGGAGGTATCTATTTACCTAAGAAAAGAAAGTGGCATCGCACACACACCTGTGACCCAGCAACATGGGCAGTAGAGGCAGGAAGATCGGCAGTTCAAGCCCATTCCCAGCTACACAGCAAGTAAGCAGCAGCCTGGGCTACACGAGGCCCTGTCTCGACAAACCAAAGAGAAACACCTATCTACAGAAAGACCCAGACAAGAAAACTCTTAACAGTCTTGTTCAAAGCAGTAAAAAAAAAAAAAAATGGAAAGTAACCTGAGGAGTGGAGAGATGGCTCCGTAGATAAAGACACCGGTCCCCTAGCCTGTTGATGGTAGACACAGGAGGAGCAGAACCAACCCCTCAAGTCGTCCTCTGCACACACATGTACCATGGCACACGTGCAGACACACAAACACAGTAATGAATGGGGGGGGGGGGGTTAGGGGTGTTTCAAGACAGGGTTTCTGTGTAACAGAGTCCTGGCCGGCCTCAAGCTCAGAGATCCACCTGCCTCTGCCTACCTGAGTGCTGGGAAGCTTGGCCCACAATAATGATTTTTAAAACAGAAAATAAGGGGCTGGACAGATGGTTCAGCAGTTAAGAGTACCTGCTGCTCTTGCAGAGGACCTGGGTTTGGATGCCAGCACTCACATGGCAGCCCATAACCACCCCAGTTCCAGGGGATCAGATATCCTCTTCCGGGCCCTGAAGGTACGTACACACATGCATGCATACAAAAAACCTATACATAGACAATTAAAAAAAATTGAAAAATGGGAAGTAGTCAAATATCCACTAGCAGGATGGATGAGCTGCTGCAGCTACTCATGCAAGGGGACACCTAGGAGGGTGATGACTCATGTGGCCACAGGGCCAACTGTCAATCACAAGAAGCCAGAGAAGCATGGCACATGACATCATTCTCTCGACATGAAGTCTCAGGGCCGACAGGCCTCATGCAGTGTCTGACTGCTCCTCACTGTGTGGCAAAAGTACAGAACTCTACATACCTTCTCTCAAACCTTGGGCCTGGGCCAGCTGAAAATGGTAATGAGTCTAATGGATCAGGCCTGGTAGGGCTAACGATGTCCCTCAAGGCACAGGAACTGGGTCCCCCAGTTTCAGGACTATCAGAGTCATCGACCTTTTACACAGGGAACAAGAGATCCAAATTTGAGTGGTCTGAGAGTGACTGGTTTAAATCACCTGACCTAATTTGCTATCCTCTACCACGATGAACACCATGACCAAAACCAATTTGGGGATGAAAAGGTTTCTTTGGCTTAGTGATCAAAATCCACCATGAGGAAAGTCAGGGCAGGGCTCAAACAGGACCCATAAGGGAAAGCTGTTTATCAGCTTGCTCAGCTTTCTTATACAGCCCAGGACTACCTGCCCAGAGGTGGGCTGGCCCCTCCTCCATACATCAATTAGCAATCAAGAAAATGCCCCACAAACATGCCCACAGACCAATCTAATAGAAGTGATTTCTCCGCTGAAGGTCTATGTTCCTAAATGTGTCAAGTTGACAGCAAAATTAGCCATGACTGAGCCTTTGCTTCTAGGCCTTCTCAGGCAACTCCAGGCAAACTCACTGTGGGGTTTTCAAACTCTCATGATGCATACACCCCTCCCCCACAAGAAAATGAGAGAAAAGGTCAGGACAGAGCCTGTCTGTGCCTTCGATCCATGACTGTCTTCATTTTTTTCTAACATCTTTTATCTACCACACACACTTCTACTCAAATCGCAGTTTTTAAGTTAAGGAGCTATCAATTCAATTCCAGATTTTCATCCTCCTCCCTCCTCCTAAAATCATAATCCCTCAATCAATTCCCAGGACCATAACTTACGCAGCCACTTTTCTGTGCCAATGGTTTTGCCAATTTCTGACTGTCCACATAAACAGAATCATATACTCCAGTATTTTGTGCCTAAATTTGTTTTGTTTTTGTTTTCCAAGACAGGATTTCTCTTGCAGCCCTGGCTGTCCTGGACTCACTTTGTAGACCAGGCTGGCCTCGAACTCACTGAGATCTGCCTGCCTCTGACTCCCAAATGCTGGGGATTACAAGCGTGTACCACCCAGCCTGGCTTGTGCCTAACTTTTTAAAAGGTTATTTTCAAGGTTCATCCACCTTGTAGCATGTGTCAGAAGCCCATTCCTTCAGAATAATATTCCACTGTAGGATGACTGTCCTAATTTGCTTTTCTGTTCCTATGATAAAGGCCAAATTGTGGAGGAAAGGGTTTATCTGGCCTGGTCACAGTTCGTGCTCAACACGAACAGAAACAAGAACCACGGAGTAAGGCTGCTTGCCTGTCTTCTTACACAACTCAGCACCACTGTCTAAGGATGCCACCGCCCAGAGTGGGCTAGCCTCTGCCATATCAATCATTAGCCAAGAAAATAGCACCACAGAGATGCTCACAGGCCAGTCTAATTGAGTCAATTTTTCAACTGAGTTTTCTTAACAGCTGAGTTGCATTTGTATCAGTTTGACAAAACTAACAAGCACAGAGATACAGTTTTCACAGTCTTTTTAACAGAATTTCCCAACATGCTAGCGGATACTCAATTAAAAGCAAAAACAAAACACAATGTCTGTGTAGCCCAGGCTGTCCTGGAACCCCCTCTGTAGACCAGGCTGGCCTCTAACTCAGACATCCTCCTGCCTCTGCCTCCTGAATGCTGGGGATTAAAGGCGTGCAACATCACCGCCGACTCCGCTCCATTTTTAAATTAAAACGTATTATTATTGTGTGTATTCGAGTGCATACGGAAGTCAGAAGACAACGGGCAGTTAAATGACTAAAATCCAAATAGGCACTAGCCGTGTCGCACGCTACACAACAACGAGCCACTAGAACGGCTACCGACGTCCACTGTCTGCGAACCCGCGACCGAGGTAGGAGGCATGTCCAGCTACAGCCCGCCCACCCTGGCCCAGGAATGCTCACCCACATCCATCCACTCTGGAGGCAGCAGACGGCACTTCTGTCTCTGCTTCAGGTTAATGGCCAGCCACAGGGGCACGTCCACAGGTAAGCCGGGGTTGAAGGGCCCCAGGTCCCCCTGCAAGGACAACGCCGAGTTCAGGTGGAAACGAGCAGTGACCCGTCCGTGACCCCGCGGCCGCAGCCCCGTCCCACCCCGCCTCACCCCGATCAGGTAGATCTTGTCCAGACTGAAGTTCGGGATGATGGTCACCAGCTCCTTCTCGGCCAAGAACTCCACCTCGGCCGCGTCCATGACGGAGAGGGCGCGCTCCAGGCTCGTGGCCGCCCCTCCGTGTTTCAGAGGCTGCGCCTCAGCGGCTGTTTTCCCGCCACCGCGCGGGGGCCCGCCCCCTACCGGAAGGCGATCTGAGGCGGCCCTATAGAAACATCGCACCCTTCGCAGCCTCAGAACGTCGCAGTTGGTACGAGCCCGCGGATTGGTCAGTCCGAGCGAGGCTGCCCTCCCCAGGCCCCGCCCTTCTATGGCCTGCCAGGGCCGGTTCCTGTCTGCGGTCTCCTGAGTTTCAACTATTCCCCTGACGGCCCCGCCCCTGTTACGTCGCAACCCTCTCCAGGCCCCGCCTCTGACCCCGTAACCTCTTCTTCATTGGTTTCCGGCTCTGTCCCCTCCCTCCAGCCGCACATGACTCCGCCTCTTGCCCACATACCGCACTCACGGCCCCGCCCCTACATCCTCTAGTTCTGCACGACTCCGCCTCCTGACCCGCCCCTTTCCTTCGACCACGCCCCTCCTGCGCCCGCCCCATCCTCTGCTCGCCTGCGGGAGGCGGTTCATCTGTAGCTAGATGTCTCTTTGCGGCACCCAGGCAGGCTTGCCTGCCTCCGTATAGGTTTGGGCCGAGTCTTCACCTGCGCTAAGCGCAGCTCCGGGTCCCAGTCCGTACAGACGCCATCATGCGGAAAGGGTCTCCCCTTTGATTTTACAGTCTTTGCCCTTCCGCACATGGTTAAAAAGCAATGAAACTGTGCCTCCCCTATCTGTTCCATTCAGATCCTTCGAGGCAGAGCCCAGAACCAGAGCTTTGGCAAACCAAACACCAGATGAAACCTCCCCAGGGACAAATTTGCATGCGTGTCATCGCTGTTGTATTACTGTTGTTATTGCAGTTGTGAAGACTGAACCCCAGTCCTCAAAAGTCTTCCACTGAACTACACCCGGAACCTGATGCCCTCAAGCCTTCTATACCGAGGGCCTAGGTGAGCCAACAGCGCCAGTCCTGGGAAGTCTCCAGGACTGTTAATATGGCTCCTGGGGGAATTTGGGGTCAGGAGTGTTAGTTCATAAATCTTGATGCACTAGCCCACTCCCAGGTTGCTTAGGCACCTGTGATGTCATCAGTTATCACTCCCCACAGTGGCCCGGGATAAAAGGACCCCTGCCTCTTCTCTCTCTTGCTCTCTATGTTTTTATTTCTCTGCCAGTGCGCCCCCCCATCTCTGTCTCTCTGTCTCTCTGCCCTCATGGTTCACTCAGGCCCTAACTCTCTTCTGCTTCCCTTCCCCCAAATAAATATCTTTCATGTCACCTCTGTCATATGCGTGGCGTGTTTTTAAATATATCATAGCAAGCAGTCTAGTGAGGACAGCTGAACTATAGCAAATCCTAAAAGCCACTTGACTCCACTAGGTGTCAGCAGACCAGGGTAGCTCACTGGGAGGAGAAGTTGTAGACCAACTAGTGAGGGCAAGAGGGCTGGATCCAAGTTTGAAACCCTCACCATCAGGCCCTGAGCTGAAGGATCTCCAGTTGGGACCCGCCTGAGTCACGAAGCATTTGCAATCTCAAAGATAAAGAAACCAAAGGCAAGGTGGACCTCTGTGACAGAGCAGTTACCTCCCACGTGCGAGGCCCTGCTGCAGCGGTTTGAACGAGAATTGCTCCGGTGGCCTCTTAGATTTGAATACTTGCCCCCCCCCCCCCAGTTGGTGGAACTGTTTGGGAAGAACTGGGAGGTGTGGCTTCGTTGGGGGAGGTGCAATCATTGGGGGTGGGCTCTGAGGTTTCAAAAGCCCGAAGCATTCTCAGCGTGTGCACGCCTGCTTTCTTGCTTCAGGCTTGTGGGTCAGATGTAAGCTCTCAGCTACTGCTCTAGCACCCCGCCTGCCTGTTTGCCGCCATGCTCCCCTCGGTGATGGACAGACTCTAACCCTCTGGCACTATGAATCCCAAATCAAATGCTTTCTTTTTTAATTTGCCTTGTTCATTCGTTCATGGTGTCTTATGGCAATAGAAAACTGATTAAGAAGTCTAGGTTCCATCCCAGCAAAACACACACACACACACACACACACACACAGCATAAAGGATGTGCAGTCTGGGTTTTCTGTAGCCAGGCAGAAAATTTGCTCCATCTCAGTGATGGCCTCTGACAGAGCTGTATCCTGCTCCCTGCAGGGACCCTGGAAAGCAAGTTCCACCCACCCCATGGCCCGGAAGCCTGCCTGCTGCTTATCTGTGTTGGAAACTGTCACTTGCAAACCCTCTGTCCCCTTCATGAGGCTACGGATTCATACAAATATTCTCAAAAGAAATACGTTGGAGGTCATTGGGCGTTGAGCAGCTGCTCCGAGACTCAGCCTCCTCGTGGGCCTTTGAGGATGGAAGGAAGAAGCTTGGGACAGATTCAGAGGGGGAGAAACTATCAGCCACCTGGACCATGCCAAAACAGAAGCTGCCTCCCTCTCCTGCGGAGTATGTGTGCCAGCTCGTCTGGGTTTTGATTGACAGGGGAGTGTTTTCTTGACTGGCAAATATTTGCGTTCCCAAGTTGGCTGTGCTTCACTTTCTGGTTTGCACGGTCTCTAAAAGAGCAAAGGAAAAGAAACTAGCACAGAGGATGGCGCCAGGAGACGGACAGGAGGGCCGGAGGGAGAGCAGCTAGATCGGTGTCTTTTCCTACGGAGGCGGCGCTAGGAGCGGCCACTGGGTGTCTGGTGGGGGGAGTGAGAGTGGGTGCACCCTACGCGCTGCACAGTGGCCGTGCCAGGATGCTTCAGCTTGTCTCTCTACAGCAGAGAGTTTCATACCACCCAGCACGCAGGCGTGACTGACTTCTGGCAGCAGATACACAGAGAGAGAAAGGGTGCTAACCCACACCACGGGGGGAATACTCCGCCCAAAGCAGCTGCCTCACACTGGGGTGCAGATAACATCCCCAAACACAATGCCTGCAATCCCAGCACACCGGAGGCTGAAGCGGGAGGATTGTGAACTGTTCTGGGCTACACAGCATGTCAAGGCCAGCCTCATTGACATAGCATGTCAAGGCCAGCCTGAGCTATGTAGCAAGACCCTGTATCAAAAAACAAAACGAGCCAGGCTTAGTGTGCATTCTTTTGGTAATCCCAGCACTGGGGAGGCAGAGGCTGGCAGATCTCTGTGAGTTCAAGGCCAACCTCATCTACCTAGAACGTTCCAGCCAGGGATACATTAGAGATCCCGCAAAAACAATCAAACAAACACCAAAAACAGGGGCTGGAGAGAGGGCTCAGAGGTGAAGAGCACTTGTATTGGTAATGAACCCGCTTTGGTTCCTAGTACCCACATGACTCATCACGTCTGTTCCCTGTGGGAACTAGGCATGCAAGTGGCACACAGATATACATGCAGGCAAAACACCCATGAAAAGTACAAATTCATTTTTAAAAATAAAAACTAAAAAACAAACAAAAACCTTCATGATGCCAGGCAGAAGAGATAAAGGCTCCATTCCTAAAGCGTTTACTATACAATCATGAGAACCAGAAAGCCAAGTAGCTCTTCCTTTAACCCAAGCAAGTGGGAATCGGAAGTAGGTGGATCTCTTCCAGTTCAAGGCCAGCCTCGTCTACACAGTTGTGGAACAGCCAGAGCTATTTCGTAAGACCCCATCTCAGAACAACAGTGAAAGCCGTGTAGGTTGGTACACACTTGGACCGCAGAGGCAGGTGGATCCCTGTTTCTCACTAGCCTGGCAACCTACACCACTTGAGGCAAAATCCAGGACAATGAGAGACCCTCTCTCAAAAGCAAGCAGTGTGGACAGCTCCTGAGGAGTGACAATTGAGGATGTTCCTTGGTCTGTACACGCATTCACAGGTTTACACGCACCTGCACACATATAAACACATACATACGAACAAACAAAACAAAAACCCTAAAACCCGAGAGGTTGAGTAAAAAAAAAAAAAATCCAGACACAGGACTAGGGCGATGACGCAGTGGTTATGCTCTTCCAGAGGACCTGGGTTCCATTCCAGCATGGTGATCGACGACCATCGGTTTCTGGCCTCCGTGGGCACCGGGCACACCTGTGGCACACTGACATATGTGCCGGCAAAACACTCATACGCAGAAAATGAAATTATAAAAGCAGCAGCAGCCAGACCCAGAAGTCTGTGCAGCGTGTTTTCCTTCAACAGCACGTCCACAACAGGCAGGCCCTCGGCAACAGCGAGATTCACGTTTGCCAGGAGTGAGAAAGGAACGACGAGACTGTTCATGGGACTCGCTCTTTATTGGAGGGTATGATAGATTGTTCTAGGATTGGTTGGTGGTAAAGGCTAGACAGCTCTGTAAATTTGCTAAAAAGTCATTGAGTTGCACACGCTCAAAATGCAGTTGTGCGTGTGTGTGTTTGGCTTCGGGTTTTTTTGTGGTTTCTCCAGACAAGGGTTTCTCTGTGTAGCCTTGGCTGTCCTGGAACTAGCTTTGTAGACCAGGCTGGGCTCAAACTCACAAAGATAGGCCTGTCTCTGCCTCCCAAGTGCTAGGATTAAAGGAATGTGCCACCACCCAACTAAGGCCCAGAGTCATGCCATCTGACGGGGCCCAGATCCTCCGAACACTAACAAGTCCCCGGCTGAGGGCTCACAAGGCCTCTAAGAGTGGGTCTTCCATCAGGCCTCTGTGAGTGTGGAGACCAGTGGTAGTGAACAGACAGGAAGGAAGGAGAGAGAGGAGGACAGAGAGAGAGGTGGCGGGCAGTTTATATTCTCCGCACCTGGCACAGGTGATGACATGGGACACAGGTGGTGACATAGGACGTTGTCAGGACCCTAAAGGATCCTGAGGGAAGGCAGTTGAATTGCCCGCACAACTTAACAGGGAGCCTCCTGATATGGGTGCTGAGAAAGCAGCCTTCCACAAAAACAGAGCAGAAATGCTCTTAACCACTGATCCGTCTCTTCAGCTCCTGTGTGTGTGTGTGTGTGTGTGTGTGTGGTTTTTCAGGACAGGGTTTCTCTGGGTAATAGCCCTGGCTGTCCTGGACTGGGTTTGTAAACCAGGCTGGCTTTGAACTCACAGAGATCCACCTGCCTTGGCCTCTGAGTACTGGGA